CATTTATATCGAGTCAATTTCTTTTCAATAATATAACGGGATTTTTACTACCGGTGATTTGGGTATTTTAGCCCCAAAATACCTTTAAATCGACTTTATCTTCTAGGAGTTCGACAGAATTTTTCCTTTCTTCGCTTAAATTATTCCGTAAGGTGAGGTTGGGTAACTGGGCAGGAGTTCGAAGAAAAATGTCAAAATTTCAACTTCATGATTTTTTTCCCATCATTATATTGACAGCGGAGGCTACTTTTAAATTTTTTTTAGTAAGTATAACACCTTGTCTAAATGTAGGAAGAGTCAAAAGTCGAATTTCATCTTTCAATTTTTTCCCACAAATTTTCAAAAATTTCCCGTTTTTTCCACCCAGTTACCCAACGTCGTGGGGTAACTGGACTACCCCCCCTTAATTTTTGAGGGGGGCATTATTTTTAATTCTCATTGGCCAGAAGGTGATGTCCTGCTCATGAAGGTTTAAGAAAATGTCATTTGAATGTATATAAACATGTTTAAGTGGTTAAGAATGATGTCGTAACAGTTAGCGGCAAAAAAACCCTCAAATCTGAGAATTGAATAACGGTAAAAAAAAAATTGTTTCCTTGTAGATAAATGCTTAGAACTTTCTGTATTACTACTTATAAAGTAGTATTGTATACCAGGACACTGTTTGGCCACTTTTAGTGAGATTAAGCATGATACATTTTTAAAAAATGAAAAAAAATTATGCCGCAAGGCTGATCTAGGATAGAGTCAGGCGCCAAAAAGTTCCCTTAATTTTTAAGGGGGGCATTATTTGTAATTCTCATTGGCCAGAAAGGAATGTCCTTCTCGTGAGGGTTTCAGAGAATTTCATTTGAATTTATATAACCATGTTTAAGTCGTTAAAAGTGATGTCGTAACAGTTAGCGGCAAAAATGTAATTAAGTAATGCTTAAGTTATGCTATAATTGACTTAAGTTAGAAGTTTAGTGTGCTGGGAACCCTGATTATTGGTCTTTGGCACTTAAAAGTCCACAATAGTCAATTAGTTTTGACATTTTCAGAAGTAAAAAAACACCGAAGCACAGCAACCTTGCATTGGGTAACTGGGCAGGTGCCACCACTGCCACCTGCCCAGTTACCTTGGGGTGGGTGCCCAGTTACCCCACAAAGGGAAAATTTTCAAGGTAACTGGGCATCAACCCTTTGCAGCCAGTATTTTCATCCAATTACGTTGTAATTACTCACGCATTACACAAATACATCATACATGAAGAAGAATTGTCAAAGTTGAATAAAATACTTGCTGGGAGTGAGATATGAGGCTCTTTTCGGGACCACCTCCGGCGTTGTTTTGAAAAAAAAGCTGTCCAATTTTCGGCACTTCACCATTCACCGTAAAAATTTTTTTTGAAGTTATGTTTACATGTTCTAGATGGTTTACGTCATAATGAAGGTATGCCAACAATTAAAACAATTTTTGCACTAATCTGGTAGAAATACAGAGGGTACCGCCCAGTTACCCCACCGCCCAGTTACCCAACCTCACCTTAGCACTTTTCCTCGAGAATCTGATAAGATTTTGCTTGAGGCAGATCAAAAAACTTAAATTCGATCGAATAGCTTTCTACTTTCACAATACACGGTCTCGTCAAGGTGCGTCTTTGACCTCGCAGTGTTGGATCGTGAATTCTCTTGTTGTGCTGTTTGCCTATTTTGAAATCTCTGTAAATGAAAACTAAAGGGGTTGATATGTGCGAGTTAATGACGCGCCTTATCAACACATTGTGTTGGAGTTCACTGCTTGTTTTTCTTTCTCTCTTTTTTGTGTGCTGGTGTGTTCGATGGTTTACCCTATATACATTCTTTTTAGCCAATGAGACGCAGCTCTACCCTTTGAAAAAAAATTGAACTAATACCATTATTTCGACAAGCGTGTCACCTCAACTTTTTCATACTTTTTCACATGAAAGCGTCAAAGCTTTTTACGTATTTTTTAGATGAACAATGAATATTGTACGTCCTTCATGCGCCTCTTAATGAGAGAGTAGTGACGCATTTCCTTTTTATGAAACGTGTATCAGCTTTATCACTTCTTATTTTTACTTCATTATGAAATTCCAATCCTTCAACATTCGTTACGCCTTATTTGTTCTAGCCTGAGGCTGCTGTCACTGTATGTTGCTGAAATTGCCTGGAACCTAAATAATTAACGCTTAATAATAAAAGTACTGCCCAAAAATTCCAACAATTCACAAGAAAAAAATACCAGCAGAAGCAATAGCGGCAGTAGCAACGACAGCTGAGACGATATAGGAACAACAGCAACACCAACGGCAACAATCTTACCCAAGTAGCATGGATTGCAATTTCATTGCAATGGATTGTGAGTTGATTGCAATTTTTGCTTGTTGCCTATACGTTCATTTGAAGGCGCTTAAAAAGTTGCAATTTTATTGCAATAAGTTTGCAAGAAATGTAGATTATGCTTGTTGCCTAACCTTCTTTTTCAAGGCACTATAAAGACTGCAATTTCGGTGCAATCATGTTGTAACAAATTCACGCCATGTGCCTGGCATCCAATTCTCTAGTTGTTTTAAAGTTTTTTCGACTTAAATGTCTCACCTAACCCATATAGCCCAACATATTTTGAAAATATTGTCACCTTTATCAAAATATTTTCATGGCAATATTGTAAGTAAAATATTTTCAAAATATTTTTAAAACATTTTAAAGGAATATTTTGAAAATGTTTACAAAAAATATTTTTAAAATAATTCAAAAATATTGCCTGTAAACATGCATGTTAAAAATATTTCTTAAGAAAGTTTTGAAAATATTTTAAAAATATTTTTTGAAAATATTTCTAAGTTCTCAAGTTAGTATATGGTGTAATTTACACCGGTGTAAATTTAGTGTGAGTACCTATTACGTGATATCGAAAAAAAAAATCAGACAAAAAAAAATATGAAAAAAATAAATAACACGAAAAAAAATAAATAATAGGCAAAAGAAAGAAGCCTGAGAAAAACGGCGTTAATCAAATCTATGATGAATGTTGAGCCACGCACTGACGCAATGCATGCGATAACAGCCTTAACAGGCGTGATTTCAACCCAACTCATCATCAGCTCCCTGTAGCTCAGTGGAAGAGTGCTCCGCTATGAAATTCGCGGGTCGAGTTCAAGCCCACTCAAGGGCGTCCGGTATTTTATGCTGCTAAACGTCGTAGAACATTAGGTAAGCATGGGTTCGAATTATTATAATTTCCCCGGAAAATTTAGGGGTTGAAATTTAAAGGTCGTCAATATTGAAATTTCTTTGCAAAAAAAAAATTGCAACTTTTTTACAATGAGGGGGTCAGATGTTGTAAAATAATTGCAATTTTCTTGCAAGAAAGTTGAAATCATCTGGAAATTTTATTGCATTTAAATTGCAATTTTTTCGTTGCAAAATGCTACTTGGGTAGCAGCATTACTTGGGTTATTAAAACAAATTTAAATTTATTCTGATTCATAAGAAATAAAATTGTTGTTACATTTTCTATTATAGCTACTCACAACAGTGGCGTGGCGTGACTTTATCCGATAGGTGTTCGGTAGGAGTGTCAACCACCTTAGGGGGGGTCAGGGGGGGAGGTCAGGGGGGGGTTTACCCCCCCTCCATGAAAGGGGGGTCCGGGGGACCTCCCCCGGAAAATTTTTTAAAAATGAAGCCGCAAGAACACAATTTTCATCCTTTCTGGTGGAACACAATTTTCATCCTCTTTGGTGAAAATTGTGGCAATAAATGGACGTTTTATTTTATTTTTTTTTTCACTGATCGTTTTCTTGTAATTTATTTATTTTAGTGAATTTTAGTTTCCCCCAAATTTATAGTTGTAATTTTGGTGAGAGAGTTCTTTCACCTCGACGGTGCTCATCTCCTGCATAGGAAACTTAAAAACGCGCCGAAAAACGTCACAGAAAAAAGCCGAGCACTTCTCGAATACGACAGTATTAGAACTTTCCCGCTTGTTTTTTTTTCCTTTTTTTTTGTTTTTTTTCATTTTTGGTTTGTTTTTTAAATTTTTTTATAGCTTTTTTTATTTTTTTAAGGAATATTTGATTTATTTTTTGATGAAATGAATGAAAAAAAATTGTTGAAAAAGTTTTTATTATAATTAAAATTTTCAAAAAGTATTTATTATTTATTCAGTATTCTTCTGAAACCATAATTCCAGCTTCTTGAAAGGGGAGAAGATCACGTTGAATTGCACAACACGCACCTGCGAGAATAAGTGGAAGACTGAGGAATGTGGAACTGAGAGATGCGGCCCGCGCGCTGCCCGCAAGCGAAGAGGAGAAGCGTAGGACGAATTGGCAGAGGGGAAATTCGGCCGTTCGCAGGGACCTGCGGACCACTGGTAAAGGAAACAGCTGGACTGATGAGCGACTCTCGTCTCTCGTTCTCTCCCTGTTCCCTTTTCTCTCTGCTATGTTCACTTCGCGAGCGCGGTCCGCACTTGTCGGCCGAACTCAATGCTCCCGCTCCGCTCTGTCCTCCGCGCCGCGCCGGTGCCTCCCGCTCTCTCGTCTACCGACCCTTCTTCATCATTGCACCGAGGTTCTCTCTTCTCACCGAAGTGGGCAGCTCGCCCCGCCCGTTCCCCTCTCACTCTCATCCAGGATCGGTGGCCCCTCGCGGACCCCGCGTCTCAGGATTCTTTCTCTCCGCCACGCCGCATATCGCCGTCGGAAGAAAATCTCCCGATAATTATTTGCGGTCTACTGTTCTGTATTGTTTCCCACATTGTTAGCCATAATTTATCAATTGTCTCAAAATATTTTAGGGTGTTCGGCGAACACTGCGAACCTATGGACGCCACGCCACTGACTCACAATAATTAGTCTTTATTTTGCTAGGTACAAGGTACATATAATTTCTCTGACCGCGTAGCGGTTAAGGGACGGATCCCCAGACTTTTACTGAATGGTTTCACACTGATTTTGAGTGTTAAATAAGAGATTAAACACTAAACTGCCTCTATTTTCAATGTCTTTATCCTTTTATTCATTTTTCAACAGGAGATACATCAACAAGTATCAGAAATCATACTGCTACATCAAATCTCGGTAAAAGCAAAGGTCTACTGTGCGCTTGACAGAGGTAATCAACTGCCATCTTATCCGTCAAAAGCTATAATTACTCGTACATTTTCTTTCTAAAAGTCCAAAGTGCAAAATCTGATTTGATGATTGGAGAATGTGATCCCTCCAGAGGTTAACACAATGACAAATTGTAGCTAAGTCGATAAGTGATAATCACATTTAAATATAACTGGTTTCAAAAAGTGCCCAACTCTGAAAAAAATCTAAATATCGGAAAGAACTAAAATCATCCGAAAATTTTTGGTGGATGGCATATGTAGGTATTTGACAATTGTTATTAATCCCCCCCCCCCCCCAAAAAAAAAAACTCCGTAGCCAAAAATATTCAATTTTTCGTTCCTCCAATAGTAAAATACGTGTGATAAAGTTTTCAACGTAAGTTTGATGAACTTTATGGTTTACTTAAGGGAAACACGACTGCTACAAGTTCGTTCAAGTGAGGCTAGTTATTGACTGGCTGTCATTGACCACGATAGCAAATCGTCCATTGTAGCGCAATAGTAAATTTTTAAGCCTTGGAATTGGGCACTTTTCGAAACGAACGATCATTCGTACTTACTTTTTTCAATGTAAAACGAAAGAAAAAGAAAAGGTGTGCACGACCCTAAGAAAAATTACTCTGCAATAGAAAAGAATTCTCATTATTTTGGAGTTGAGCAGTTTTCGCAGCATAACGTTGATTGAAAAATAGCTATCGGACTTTTCCCATTGAAACGGATCGGTATGCGTGAATGATCGATTATGGATACCTCCTCTTTGAATCCGTGGTAAAGAATCGATTATTAAGGCGTTTGTTACGAAGACCCTGTTTATAGATACTTTCCCGCAGGTTTAAAGGGCAGATCGATCAATAAATCGCCGGTAAGGTTCGTGAAAGGCCCATGACCCACTCATTTGTTCTTCTTGAAAATAAGTTTGTTCAGGTGGATAAATGGATGCTCCAGAGTGAGTGAAAGGGCTGCGGCGGCAAAGAGCACGATGATCACATCAAACGCCAGCTTCTGGAGCTGTAACATATATTACATTAATATAATTTAATAATTAACATATTTAACGGCATTAAAGATACTATGTGATTAAAAATGGCACTTGATATGGGCTTTGTGCTTGGGGGATTAGAACGACCAAGAACTCAAATTGTTGGAATTTTGAAAATTTGACTGAAAATGCAAGTTGCCCTCCAAAGTACCTCCTGGTGCTGATTTTCATACTCAAATAGATCAATCAAAAGCGGAGATAGCACTATTGGCTTCTTCCACCATTTTTGATTTTGTATTTTTAAAATTTGACTAATAATTCGAGTTTTCCGTCCAAAAATGCCCCCAAATCTCGAGTTTCACAGCAATTGTACACGAACAAGAGCCAAGATAGCATTTTAGACAACATCCGCCATCTTTGGTTTTGAAATCATGAAAATTTGACTTAAAACGCGTGATATCCAAAATTTAAGCTCAGATTCTGATTCCTCGTTTAAAATCAATGTAATTTCATGTTTGTGCGTTAGCGTAGCACAAAGAAAAGGATTCGAACTTATCAGTCCAATATGGGAGGTAGGTCAGAAGAGAGAGTGTAGCAAAAAGGAGAATAATTTATCTTCGCAAATTCGTCAGGACGCAACCGAATGCCTAGCGCCATGGCGCCCAGGCAGATTCCACGCGGCTGGTGGCACAGATAAGAGGGTCCAATTCCTCGAAGAAATTCTGGTTCCTCCTCCGCTAACCTACTCCGCCACCGCCGTTCATATTGGAATGATGTGTTAGAGCCAGGACTCCTTCATGCTATGCTAGTGCATGATGCACGAAATTGCATTAATTTTTCCCGAGAAATCCAAATCTGAGCTTAGATTTTGAATACCATGAGTTTTAATCTATTTAAATTGGTTTGAGGAGTTACAGGGGTGTTCTTAAAAAATTTATCACGCAGTAGTGTTTGGACACCAGCTGGTAACCCCTACCTTTGGGGGCAGTGGAGATGGTCACCGGCTTCAAGGCGTATGAACCACCCATTGAAAGGGCTGACAGGGCTCTCAGCTGTGGTGGAAGCATCCTGTCTAGGAGAGGAAACCCCGAAATCAAACACTGGTCCTCCAGGTTGCGAGTTGAGTCATCGGGCTGACTCCCTACTCGGAAAAAGAGAGACCGTTAAAAGACTCAATAATTGCCTCAGGCAACTTACCAGGTGATAATATGAGAAGTATCCGGCGGTGCGTTGCATTCCCAGATCAAACAAGATGAAGATGTAGTGAACCAAGTAGAAGCAAAAGCATAATCTGCTCAGAATCTGGAAGGACTGGTGCGAGAGGAATTCGTTCACCGGACCTGGAATGCACCAGAGAACAATGGGCCTGTTGCAAACTTTTGCTGGAGCAGAATGAGGAGTTGTTTCCCATAGATAATGCCTCAAAAATCACGATGAGCGCATCGGCAAAGTCTGAAATGCACTTATAAATTCACAATCTGCGTAAGAAATTTGCGTTATTTTGAGCTTCCCGCTTCAAAAACGATACTACTGCACAGGTGAACATTTTGTTAGAGGAGTCGCTCCATCGTCGGCAATATTCATCATGGCCGACGCTTGCGCAGTTCCTCGCGTAATTCGAGGAGAGTTCAAGGTCAATTAAGGCGGGCGAGGAAAATATGAACGTAAACACGCCGATTGTTATCTGGTTTAATCCTGTTCAGGTGTTATCTCGTCCCATCACACGTGTTTTGGCGGACTGGCGTCGGCCATGATGAGTATTGCCACCAATGGAACGACTCCTGCAACAAAATGTTCACCTGTACCGTAGTATAGTTTTTGAAGCGGGAAGCTCAAAAAACCGCAAATTTCTTACGCAGATTGTGAAGTTATGAGTGCATTTCAGACTTTGCCGATACGCTCATCGTGATTTTTGAGGCATTATCTATAAGAAACAACACTTAGTTTTGCTCTAGCAAAAGTTTGCAACAGGCCCATTAGGAAGATAGATTCGTAGTTCCAGAACAGAAAAAGTTACTGCCGTGGAATCAGTCAGTTGTGCGTCGTAGTAAGTTGTGTTAAAGATAATTGTAAAATTTCAAGTTCTAGCGATACCAATCGAGATCCGTCCAAAAATGGTTGTTTCCATCATAATAATTGGGACATCGCCTTTTGAAAATACGATGCACATCATCTGTAACTACGTCCATCTCAATTTCAATGGGGAAAAATCCTGATCACCACCAATATTTATGCCACTATTTTGAGGCTGCACAATAAATGTAGACTGGTAAAGAACGTTACAATTTGTCACCTTCCGGCCGAAGTATCACAAGCTCCATGCGACGTTACCAAATTTTTGCCGCAATTTTATTTTTTTACCAAGAAATTGTTAAACTATAAGGTGTCTGAAAATGTCACTGAATTTTTTTTTTTGTGCTGCCAATAAAATTCAGTGAAATTTTCAAACAGCTACAACCAACAATGTCTCTGTATTTTTGAAAATTTGGAACGTCTCATGGCGCTTGTGATATTTTGGCCGGAAGGTGGCGGCATCAGTCCATATCCGTCAATGTTTAGCGGAGCTGTAATCATCGGTAGACAGGTTGTTACGGCACTTCCAGTTTTGCTGATTGCGTGACCTTGAGATGTTTACGAAAATTTTAAGAGCGGGGCTAAAACCATGCATGTAGCGCAATCATTGCAAAATGTAATCCATTTTTCGCACGGTTGCTGCCTACTTGCTGAATGAACCACCAGACAGGGTACAAATTCAAGCATTCTGATAAGTGTTTCTTGACCAAAATTTCACGCAAAATACGATTCGCGCAACGAATATTACTGAAACCAACTCCTAATGAAGAATTTGACGTTTTTATTTACATTAGTAACGGGAAATTTGAATTGCCCGCTTACAAGAAACTCAACGCTCTACGTGAGTCAAATCGCCCACTATAACGGTTTCGGCAGATTTCTCAATCGAACACTGCTCATTTCCCAACCTGTGTTGTTCAAGCTATGAAAAACTTGCCATAGCTAAGCCAAAATGTCAAGATTGAGGTGGCCAGATTTTCATATCGCAGAGACTACCATGGTATAACGTTTAGTGCGTCATTTGCCTTAAGTAGAGCATTGAGTTTTCATGAGCAGGGGGTTTGAATTCACGCATCAAGAACGCAACGACAGAGCACAGGGGAGAATTTCATGACCCGCCTTTCATTATTACACTTCATCTAGCGTTGAGAGTTCACTAATTACTTCACACGATCAGTATGTAATTTTATAAAGCGCAAGTTTAAAAAAAGAAAAAATTAAAAAAATACATTTTAAGAAGAAATTTATACGATAGGTATAAGATAGGTACTAGTTTCTCCGCCAGGGAGCTCTCCCCGCAAGAAATCGTTCACCACCCGCGCGCCGGGAGAGCCGCGGCGTGCTGCCAGCGCAAAACGCGCACTGACGCCTACAAACCTAAGGGGCTACTTCTCGCATTGCGCAATGCTTGAAGTATCCCTTTAGGTTTGTAGGCGTCGGTGCGCGTTTTGAGCTGGCAGCAGCCACGCAGCGCCGCGCCGCAGCGTGCCATAAACTTGCGCACAATTAATAGGTAAGGGTGTCAAAATCTTGGCAAATTGACATCAAATTCGAAATTACCGACTCAAAAAACATCAGCAGCGGAATTTGCGTAATCTTTCAGTCATTATCCGGCTAATTTCTTCTTATTCTTGAATATTGGACCCGCGGGTGGTGGCTCATGAAATTCTCCCCCTTGCTAAATCGACATTAAATATCTTCGTCAGGAGTTGATTTCAGTGATTTTCGTCGCACTCAGCGTGTTTCACGTAAAATTTTGGTCAAGACACATGTATCAGAGTGCTTAAATACGCACCTTGTCCAGTCGTCCATTGCTTTAATTCGTGTGATAGAATTTCAATCAATCCATACCTCCGTAGCCTTGATCACAAACAAATATAATCCAACCAATAGCAATGGCGAAGAGAGGTCTATGCAAAGATGCATATAAAGCCGAAAGGAATGGTCCCGATCCAAACCAGTAAAAATAGGTTAAGCCGTAGAACACAATAATCAGAATGCATGTACAGAGGGTCCAGCCAATGACTCTCGCCAACTGAAAAATAAAAATTCTAGTGAACATCATAATATTACTTTCAATTTAGGGGCAAATCTGGACAATTTTCAGGTGCAGAATGCGGAAAAGTAGTCTTTTTACAAATTCATTCATCTGTCAAAAAATAAGACATGGGAGCCGCTCATGAAATACTTAACGCTCTAGGGGAAGAGGGTTTGAACTTGCGTTACAGATGCATAGAGATGCAACACGTATTTCAAACATTTAATGAATATCCATTATTATTTTGTAAGATGGAGGCTCTTCTAACTAATAAGACTCCATGCACGGAAAAAAACTGTAAGAAATTGAAATTTAGTTGAGATCCTATCCCTATAGTGCGTGGAGATATCATCGGAAGTGGCATCTTTAACTCACCAAGCAAAGTCCAATTTTTTCCTTCTTATAGTGATCCAAAAAGTATCCCAATAGTATGCCGATCAAGTAAGATGGTATTCTAGTCTGAACCGGTAGGTACACTTCGACGAAAAATCGTCTACGTTTCGGGATACTGTAAACAAAGTATGGAAGAATGCTACATTTATCGCATGACAAATTTGCAATGTTTAGAAAGGCTTAAAACTAAAGGAAGCATACTTAAATAATGAGCTTTAAAGGAGAGTTTAAAGCTATCCCTCTTGTAGACAACCCTTCATAAGAGCTGATACTTTTATCAAAGTAATATTTCTTAAAGATTTGACAGAAATAATTCTATGAAATTTAAAGGATGGAGTTCATTATGATGGCTTGTTTCTCCGACCTAAAGAGTGATAAAAATTGGTTCTGAGCAGGGGAAAAAACGCACAAAATATGGTTAGCCAAGGCTGGAAATTAGATGCTTTAAAAATGTTTAAGATCTTACGTATGTATTAAAGTGTTTCACCTAACCTAACGATATATTCAGCCGCTAGGTTTACGCATTGTTTAATGATTTCAGTAAAAGTCATGCACTAAGTCCATCCGGTTTTATGGGCGGACTAAACCTGGGGCGGCTCGAGCCAGCCGCACAGTCGACCTGTTAAATAAATGTAGTCTTCATCATTTTCATGAATAAAAACAAAAGCTATGCAATCGGCATGCTGCTGACAGGTTATACAAGTATTTTTCTACAAATCCGATGGTAAAAAGTACGTACTAACTTGTAACCGATGGTGTAAGTCCAGGGATAGTCTTTAACGTATGTAATCCAGAATGTGTAAATGCATGAAGCTAGACAGGTGACAACGATGAGAATGATTCCGTGTTTACGATTCTTGTTCAGGGCGAACAAAAACAACGGAGCTAGTACGTAAAATTGCATATCCGTGCCTAAATACCAAGCGGCCGAGTAGCACTGTTAACAATGAAACTATTAAGATAAATAAAAAATTATAGCAAAATACAAGCACTGGTTTTAGAATCAGGATTGAATGAAGGGCTTGGAGGGCAAGACGCAAAAGAGCAGTTTTTGCCATTTCGAAAATACGTGTTAGCAGTTTCGAAATTACATGGATCTTTATGGCGGTAAAAAAGTTCCAGCTGACTTTTTGATGCTTAAAAATTGGAATTCGGGAGCGAATTTTTCATAGAGTGTAATCAAGATTCATTTTACTCGAAATTATTAATATCTCATTTTTTTTCAAAAACTGCACTTATACACCTTGTCTTCCAAGCCTCTTAAATATATTCAATGATGAAAAATTACATGAGAAAGTCAAACTGAGATGGAGGGAATTATCGGATGCACGCATACAGAAATGATAAAAAGAAAATAAATATGACATTGTATGTAAACTTTTTACTCACATTTCTGGATGCATGTATACTTTTTGATCTCTCCTCTAAGGTTAACCAAGGTGTCAATGATCCAGATGTTAAAAGCACCTTTATATAAACGTATCCACCAACCAAATAACTAACCATACTTTTTGTTAAATCACCTATAAATAAATGTATAAAACAACAACAACATACTGTACAACTTTTCAAAATACAACCCTGTTATTTTTCAATGATAAAATATACCAAGCCCTATTTTCAGTTTTTCCCCATCACTTTAGAATTAATTTTCTATTATCTTGCATGATTTTAAATTGCATGATTTTAAATTGCATTTTCCTGGGAGAGGTATTTCGGTTAAAAAAAAAAAAAATGTCGTTGTATAATTTCATCTTAAATCTGCCACAATGACCATTGACATTGCCTTACTCCCAAAATCAAGACCTTTCAACTTCATCAAGCTGTGATAATTTCGCGCCTTCAATTGAGAAGATAGGCATCATGCAGCCGCAACTAAAACGCACGGACGCGACGTAGCGATGTTACTGCAATTACTTCCTATGCGTCAGCTACTTTCAATAATAATAATGCGTAACATTAACAACAACTTTCAATAAAATTGCAATCACTTATTTGACGCTGATGGCTTTTTTCAGAAATCAAAGCTACTTAATTTCGTCCAAGGATATATGTAATCTTGAAAAATGTGTCTTTTTTAATTTCCCCAAAAATATAATGGGTTCATACTACCTACCACTCAAAAAAACCTCTGAGTTCAGACAATAATGATCTCGCGGTCATTCGAGCTTTACAATTATTTGCCTGTACCCTCCAATTTAAAAACGTACATAGGCATGTAAACTTCTGAATTTCGTGTTTAAAATGGTTTTTACACTCACTGAGTCTTGCGGACTTGCATTCCAGTAATTGTTGATGTATAAAATGTTCGTCCACCAGTTGTTACGGCAATCTTGCTTCTCACCGCCGACAAGTTCTTCCCAGATCGGGCCAGATCCGAGATCATAGAGGACCGTCATGTAGATCAGAATCACAAAGAAATATGCCGGTGTTATTCTGTAAAACCAAATACAATTAGTTTAAAATGTTGAATTAGAAAAAATCATTTGTATTGCGTTTACATGTTTGCAAAAAGGGAGAAAATACTATCATTAATTCAGAGTTTCAAAGAAATGCAAAGTCTGATGTTTCCGATTAAAATCAAAATGGTTCTTTTTAAATATTGGTGTAGTAATTTGACTGGCCGAGGTAAAAGTGAGTGACGTTCCCAAGAGCCAAGTCATCACGAGAGGTGATTTTCATGAACTTGGCAAAAATATGTTCTTTGAATTTTTTTTATAAAACGCCTTTCGTATCTCGAAGACTAAGCTGTGAAAAGGCTTATTGTTAGTTAATTTGTGTGCCAATGTTAAGGGGGATTACACTGTATTCCGAAGATTTTAAGTCTAAACTTTGAGTAGCAATTTCTGGAAAATGTACCTTCATAATCCCTGTTTAGTTCGACATTTGAGCATTACAAAAATGTTTACAAAAAAGTCCTCAATCTTATAATTTCAGTCCCCTTTTCCTGTAGACCATCACACTAATAGAATAAAATTCCTGCACCATGTACTTTTTAAAGAAGCAAACTTTTATTGCCACGTAGAATTATTAAAGCATAAATTCACGACTTTAAAAGAAAGAGATCTAGTGGAAGAACTAAGAAAATTAATAGTCACTGGGACTAAAGTTACGATACCTTAAATTTTACCTTAAGTAGCGATACAAGACATGTTTTGCGAAGGAGAACTTATACTGTGCCTTCCGCTCTCTCATGAAACCAAAGGCTAAAACCATGCCCCCCAAAAGGAAGAAAACGTCAACGGCCAAAAGCCCATTCAGCAAAAGCATTCCAAACATGCTGTGGGTCAACTGAAAAACAGGTGCAAAATTTTGTAAGTCAATCTGCTTGAACTTAAAAAAGCTCAATTTACACTGAAAAAAAAACGATTGGTAGAATTTACCATTCCTTCACGCTGTATTTCACACAGCGTCAATTCAGAGTCGATTCTGCCAGAAAAAAGGTAAACGTTACTATATACTGGTACAGGTAACCATTCCTCTGGCAGAATCGACTTTGAATTCACGCTGTGTAAAATATTGCGTGAAGGAATGGTAAATTCTACCAATCTTTTTTTGCAGCGTAATTATTATCAACACGATGCACTTAAATTATTTTACTCATAATACACGGAAAAAGAGCGCTATGAGTTATTAGATTTCTGATTATATACATAATATTTTCCACAAGAAATCTAGTAAGGCTTTTCTGGCGGTGCTGATACCACGCGGCTGGTATAACAGTAACGAGATGTATGGTTAACACTGGCAGGAACTTAGCATTGGTCACTAGATTTCCCGGGAGATATGTATGATTAACCCATTAACCAATAATTAACATCATTCTTTAACATTCAGGTACGTTCAAGTGAAAACTTATGAGTCTTGAACAATCGATTTGGATAAAATGTTGTTAGCTGAGATCTTTTACGATGAAACTAGAATAACTTTTCAACAAACAGCTAATCAAACTTATATCAATTTTGGTGGCTAAAAAATGCCGATCTTTATAAAATTTTCATTTTTTTTTTTTTTTTTTTTTTTTTTTTTTTTTTTTTTTTTTTTTTTTTAATATTATGCAAAGTTAGATTAAGCGCTTAAGGGAGAATCTCATGCAATTACAATCAAAATTCCTCTTTTTTTCTCTACTTGCACATCCTTTTCAGATTTTATGACTGGCACAAACTAGACCAGAAGGAATACTGCCATTCAAAAATTTTCACTGGTTGCGTATCTGTTGACTATAAAACGTGTAATCGAGGATTCATCATTGTTTTCTTTTTTTTAATGGCAATGATTGCGCAGTGCAAAAAATGTAACAGAACATTGAAATTATTCGTCACTCTCGTTTCAAGGTACGAAAACTTTTTTTTTTTTTTTTTTTTTTTTTTTAAACTATCATGCAGGGGGTAAAATCCGCCGTTTTGTTGAACAGACACGACTTCGAATTCAGTAAACAAAATGGACAGTTTCCATTATCAGATCAAGCCATTAAAAACACAACAATGGGGGTTTCCAAAGTCAAGCATTGTATCGTGAAAACCCATCTCTGCCTTTGAACATACTGATTATGACACGCATCCTTGAATGATGAATTGGGTTCTACTGTAGCAACACTTAGGACCAACAATTTTAAGAGGGTGGTTTCTGAAGTTTTATTCAAAAGACTCACCTTGTCAGGAACTTCCCCGTGATTGACATTCGGCTCATCGACTGCGCGAATTGCTCGATGAAATGCGATGACTGCCAACATTGAAATTACTCTGATGCCATGAATGTTGTCGATCATTAGACCGGGTGGTATAGTGCTTAGTAACATCTTCCCATTTGTGATCAAAGAAAACGAAATTACCACTGTAATTTTAAAAGATGGAAGAACGTAAAAATTAAGATGGTTAAGTTAAGTATCTTTTCAAATTTTCAAAAGTCAACTCCGGTCCTAAATCATAGGGAGGTCTCGATTATTCAGTCAGAATAAATGTATCATGTATCAACGGATCAAGTCGAAAAATATGCACCTCCACTAAGCACAACGTGTTGAAATCTCTAATCAACTTTGGTAAAAATTGGCAATACGAGCTGCTTTTCAAAATACCATTGGAGTTCTTATAGCCGACTAAAGAAAGCTATTGAAAATCATATAGCTGGCTGTAGAAAGCGGAGCAAATCATATAGCCGGGCTATATGAAGCTTTAAAAAAGTATACAGTCGGGCTATAGTTCCTATCGCCGGGCTTTACACTTTATCGCCATTGGCTATAAAAGGCTAAAAGAAATAGTGTAGAAATTCGTGTGCTTTGGAAATCATTAAGTTTGATACGGAAGTACCTTAGTATTTACAAAACACACATTATATTTTCCTTTAAAACATGTTTTTTTTTTCATCAATTAAAATGAGATGGTCCATACAGAGTGTAAAAACATACAAATCATAAGTTGAAAAACGCTGACTCCGCGAGATTAAATATTAGAGCCTAAAACAAAGCGAAGCGGCGACGCATTGGCGCCTACAAACCTAACAGGGATACTTTACGCATTGCGCAAACACGCATTGGCGCCATCAAACCTAACAGGGATACTTCACGCATTGCGCAATGCGTGAAGTGTCCCTGTTAGGTTTGTAGGCGCCAATGCGCGTTTCGCGCTCTCTGCCGCCCTCTGCATGCGCCACAGCGTGCCACGGCGTCTGAAGCAACTATTTCACACCAAAGGTATTGCACAATATCATAAGAAATTGAAGGCGATCGAACATATTAAGAATGACAGGTATCCTTCAAAAGTACGGAACTTTCCTCGCAAAATAAATCAAGATACTACGGCACAAAAAGAGAGCGGTAGTCCAAAAACTAACTAAGTCCTAGTATCCGTATTTAGTAACGTTTAGCATAAACTTTATCGTCTGGCTGTTGCTTAATCGCCATCGGCTATGAAAGGCTGTAAGAAATTGTACAGCCGGCTATAGGTCTATAGTATTTTGGAACACACAATCTACTGCCAATTTTTACCAGGGAATATATTTTTAAATACAAGCTAATCAAAACATCGCACTTGAATGTCTCAATAATATTTTTGAATGAGTGAGAAAAATTTGGGGCAGTTCATAGTTTGAGGGTGAAATAAAGAGAATTCCAGAAAAATGCTTTTAAAATTTTACCAGTGCTGTCGCCAGCCATTGAAACGATTTACTTCAAAAACTTGTAACGTCATTGAAAATAAATAAAATTATGACTTGAAATGTTGCCCCAATATTCTCGACAGTAGAAGGCGTTGGTATCAAAAACTGAAAGAACATATTTTTTCCGACCCAAAATCAGTTTTAGCGTTTTAATAAACAATTTAAGTTGCCTTGCCTATGTACCTGGTTCTTTTTCTTTCTAGCCAAAAAAATCTGGTTTTATTCTTGCACCAATTTTAGATACCCTCCCAATTGCCTGTGAAGTGGCAATACACTTGGGCCTAATATTAATGTCGGTGATCGCAATACCGATTAAGCCAGTATGATCTGTCGTCATAGGTACATTATCATCACCTACATGTGAACTTCGACGTAAGTGTATATGTACTAGTGCCATACCCAATGAGCTTTCAGTTAATTAGCAAATCTGGCACTTTTAGCGTGCCCCGCCCGCGATTTTTCATTTTAATTCCCTACAATTGCTATGTGCTAGTATCTTGTGTGCGTGAAATCCTAATTTGTTTATCTTGAGCAATAAAGCAAGTCAGGAAGACGAGGCTCAATTTAATGCATGTTACCTCAATACTTAACTCAAGCGGTATTTTGAGGAGTGAGGAGCACACTAAAAATTCATTGTGGGCCTCAGATAAAGTTTCCGCATGTTTCCGGCGCAGTTTGGCAAATTGGGGTACTGATTCACTGGCCGAACCCTTGAAAAACGTTCTAATTCGATACGATAAGCACTTCCGGCGTCCAAAGAGATTTAACCATTCAGATATCGCACTTCAAAAACTACCAGCTCAAGTGTGATTTGACACAATACAGTGATATTCATTCCACCTGCGTCATGTGAGTTATTTTTTAAAATTAATGCCCGCAAAACATCTCGAAAATGCGGAATCATGAAAATCGATGGTGAAAGTTGAAAAACACGTATCTTAATTTCAACCCAACGCGAGGTTTCTCATCGTGTTTTATTCCTCCCACAGAGGACCATTGGAAATGCTCTCTTGGAATTTTGAAGGATTTTTTTTTCATATTGTTCAAAATATTAGGAGACAATTTCAGAAAATAACATTCATCGATTTTCTAAACGTATATATAAAAAACAACAACAAGGATTTTGAGACGCCACATTCGTAGTATTAGGTACTATGCATAGGCGAATCCAGACTCCTCGAACAGCGGGGGGGGGGGGGGGGGGTCGGTGGGCTGTGTGCAACCTTCATTTTATAGTATCTGTATACTGATTTAAGCGAAATCTGCCCCTCTTCTTTTTAGGCTAAGAACTGTGTCAGGGTATTTTGAATGTTTTACTTTTTCTTTGATTGTGAGAATACAATACATTTCAATGTTTTTATGTTCTTTTTCACCTTTCTTAATGCAAAATTTGAATATAAATTCATCAGCTTTTAAGGCATTTGTGGGTTATACGCTGGATGTAGAAATAAATAAATATCGCGACTTTTTTGTAACAAAAAATAAATGATACATATTAACTTTAATGTACCTGATTTTGTAAGCTGATGAGGTATCCTGATTGATCTGTACTCTATCCAAGTAGCAGCAAAAACAAACACAATGAATGCAAATGTAAAAACTCTGCAGATCAATGAAAGAAAAAAAGGGATTAATTTTATGCTAAAGCATATAAAATGCAAGATGAAATATAGTTTTCGCGGTTTTGAAACCTTGATTATCCATTTTGAAAAATCAACTCTGATTGTACAGCTTTAGTGCTTTTTCATATATTTCTCTTTTTACCCTATCTTCGATATTTTTAATTTGCTGTGCCTTGATATAAAAAAATATTCTCCATACAGTGATACAGCAGATACACATTTTTTTATCTCTCTTTTATTTTTTGACCCATTAGTCTCCGTTAACACTGGAGGTATTAAAAAAATGTATGCCGTTTCATATCAAATGTATGGAGCTCCCCAAAGGGTTGGATCGCGAGGCGGTTAGAAGGCGTAGAGCGTAGACCCCTAGTTTAATTTTAAGTTGAACCATCAAAAACCAATGTGATATGGCAGACTTATCCAAACTTCTCTGATACCTACCCTTCTACCAGAATCTCGTATGGTCCGCGACTTTTTTGGACAATTTTGGATATTTACCAGGCTAGACCGCGCTGAATGCATTTTCAAGTACGTGTCTTCATGTTACATAACAAAAATCGATCCCAATTGCGGGACTTGGAGGAAAAGGCGCATAGGTGCGGTTTTTGAAAAAATTAAGATAATAATGATTTCGAGTAAAAATAGCCTCACTGCATATTCTGTAAAAAATTAGCTCCCAAATTCCAATTTTGAAGCATCTAAAAGTCAGTTTGAATTTTCTTGCCACCATAAAGATTCCATGTAATTTCGAAACTTCAAACTCGTATTTCTCGAAATATCAAAAATTGCACTTTATGCGCCTTGTCCACCAAGCCCCTCGTTTCTGGTCCTGAACTCGTCGTCTTCCGGGCGAAGGGACGTAACTCTTTTCCAAGGTTGCCAAATTGCCTCAAACAATTAATTTATCTAACAAATTGTATCTGTGCAATTTTCATCCAAAATGTTTCTGATTTTTGCATGAAATCTGAGGGAAAATCGGTGAAATTTTCAAGTAGAAATGCCAAAGATTCTCACGTTTAATAAGCAATTTGCGAGGGGAAATTTGGCAACATTGAAATGGGGTTACGTTCTTTTGTGAAGGAAACGACGAACTGAGCCTCCAAATTACTTTATTTTTTCCGTAGAGCCCATATTAATCCGGAAAACTTACATCATGAGCCAAGACGAGACAGACAGGCCGGTGTCTTCAAGCGAACTTTGGCAGTAAACTTCCTTGATGTGTTCGGCAACGCCCCCGAGCGAAAATTCAAGCTGTTGGGTCAAATCTGTTGGTGTGCATGAAGCTGGCATACAGACCGACCATGTCCATTCTCGGCTCAGATCTCTTAGCATTACCTAGGACATGAAACTTAGATTTCAAAGATCAAGAAGGGTAATATTGATAATTTGTTAAAGCTGTACCAAATACGGGGCCGGATTTACCTACTTGTCACCCGTTGGCCGTCTGTATTTGCCCCCCCCCCCTTCTGATTCGTTTTGAAACATCAATACAAAAACCATCAAGTAAACGTGCCGGAGGGGGAGGGGTGCGTAAGACACGCTTACTCGTGTTGGAGACATTTTTTGCGAAAGCCCTGTTAACACTACTATCAAAAGTTCACGGAACTTTGCGCGAAAGTCAGTTCCGTAAACCTATCTCTGTGTAGACAAGGCCTTCAATTTGTAAGAAATGAACGAAAATATTATGAAAGAGCAAACATAAATGTGGTTTAATAATAATTGTATCTTCCGCCGCAGCCCCGCGCGCCGCACTAACCGCATTGAGTTTGGCGCAATGCGTGAAGTATGCGCATGTAGTCTTGTAGGCGCTATGCGTTTCACGTCGACCGCTGCGCTGCTGACTGCTCTGCGTTTGACGCAATGCGTGTAGGATTCATGCAGTCTTGTAGGCGCTAATATGTGTTCCATGCCGACCGCCGCGCCGAGGGCTTCTCCTTTTCATCTCAAGTCCTCGTCATCATTGCTCTCAGCGCCGCGCCGTTCCAGGCCAAATTGCGTGTTTGGTTTCTCTCTTAACTCTCCTAATTAAAGGTGCTGTCTCTTGTATCACCGAAAGACAACAAAATTAGAAATTACTATACTCTCAGGAAATGAGAGATTTTGTCGCCTTTTCTCGTTTGTAATTTTTTTCTGAATCCGTTTTTTTTTCATACCTACAATTAAAAAATTGCAAACTTTGCCGCCCCCTAAATCCGGTCCTGACCAAAAAATTTAACATCCTATTATTCCTATTCAAAGATAATTACACCTTTTTCAGGCAATTACCATCCCTGGATAAATTTTTATAAACCACAAATTAACCAAGTCGATCAATAAATCGGAGTAGTACAAATGGACCATGTTAAGCAGAAAGGAACCAAGCCACATAGCTATTGCCGAATTTAATTGGGCATTTTTTTACATAATAACGGGTGGGCAGATAATTATGCAAATTTCTGTGAATTTCTTGCATAGTGCGAAGCAAATTCCTTGAAATTTTCAAAGGAATCCGCAAAAACGTTCCCATGTAAAGAATTAAATTGCCCAGTTAAATTTGGCATTAGCTGATGTGGCTTGGTTCCTTTCTGCTAAACGCAGTCCAGACCTTGTCTTTCTTATCATATCTTACTATATTATATATTTTTAAAGAAAAAGCCAAGCCGATTTTTGTGTTTGTCGCTATCTACGTTCTAAATGGACGATAAAATAATCGACTGGAAAATGTCATGGGAAAAGCCAGGATGACGTCATCATGGCTTTTTGATGACCTCACCAGGATTCATGTAAAAAAGGAATTCACCTCTTGGCCATCATTACGAGTTTGATTGAATGTGGCTTTGACTAGACAGTACTTTCCAATGGTGTTTTTGTAGTCAATTGTTGTGTCACTTCGAACAGCTAGACATTGGTCGAAATTCCCGAGGTCGACTACATTACCATCAAGAACACTCGTCGGGATTTTTGATGACGCGTCCAACACTGTCAAAAGAAGAAACAGTAAATTTACACAAATTAATCCCGTTAAAAATGTCTGAAGTGAAGAAGTTTTTAGAGAGAGTGGTAAGGTGGTAACCCTAAGATCGGGATCCCACAATTCTTACCAGAGTTCCCAGATAGGGAGGGAAGGGACATGTAATTTCATTAAAGCCGTGGGGCCTAAAAAGGCAGCCAAAGCATCTTACAAGAAATATTAGAAACTATATTTTTGCAAACATTCACATTCAGAGAGAAACAGGCTGACTAGGTTGGTAGTGATCAGAAGCGTATAATCGTTTCGAAAATTTGCCTAAATATGATCTAAGAAAACTTCCAAAGTCAAAACTGATTAAAAGTGTAAAACATCAGATAACTTCCCATTAAAACAATCCTTGATTGTAATAAAAACGTGAATTCCCAGGCAATAACAAAAGGTAGCTTGAAATCATGGATTGGTTACTCTTTTAGGACCTAATACTTTACCTACTTGCGTAGGCATCGGCAAAGGCCTGGTGAATTTTCGGTTTTACCAAGGATGTCCATAACTCCATACCCTCCCTTTCTAGGCGCGATGGCTATTCAAAAAAACTATTCATTGATTTTTTCTTAAATCTTTTGTCAACGATCCTTGACCCAGTAAAGGTTATTTTCTCAAAAAATTCGTGCGAAACATTCTGCTGGTGTTTCTCAAAAAATTAAAACACCAGGAAGTGTCCCAAACTGGCCTCCCATTTTTGCGAATCGGGGAATTCATAAACACGAGGACTAAAATGGAACCTAGTAATGAAAAAAAAACCTCCGTCAAATTTTTTAGCCTAAATTCAACGCTAGTCATGGTGGTGTACGTCGATGCGAAGTTTACAATTTAGAAAATAGGGAATTTTTGAAAGCTGAACTATGCAAACTGTGTTACAACTAAATTAGCTTTTAACTACAGTTTAAATTTTACTTAGGGCTTTTCCCATCCAAATGTTTATACTAGGTACACGCTAATAAAATTTTGAAAATATCGCAGCGGTATTTATTGATGGATGATGCAGATTTCCTAAGAAGTACTTAATTGGGTTCCTCCTGGGGAACGCCCAGGGAAATCGTGCATGTATGATAATCATGATGAAATTACCGAGAGCCTCCAGCGGACTAATTATTGAAATTGATAGACAAAGCGATAGACAAAGAAGACATAGAGAGTAAGAGGCTATCCAATAGGTGGAAACGGGTGGTTCTTATAGACTAAGGGAGAAAATGATGGACTAATTATCGGGTCTCTCGTGGGTTGCAGTTAGTTAGTCTATCACCTACGTCCTTTGTCCATTGCAACCACCCGCTTCCACTAATAGGATCCCTCCAAATCCCTTTTGTCTTCTTTGTCTATAGCTTTGTCTATCAATTTCAATAATCGACCCACAGGATGACCTATAGGTCGATTGACAAGGATGGCGATTAGGTGTCGCCGAGCGCCCGTGTGCATATTTACATCGCAAACGTTCGAACAGTTGCTTATCGTCACCATATTAGAACGATCGAATTTCACCGTACAACTATAGGTACTTTTTTTCTTATTCCTTTTCTTTTCGAAACCGAAAACTCTTAGCATGTTTAACAATGTCGTAAAAACTCAATACTTGAAAATGTCGGTATTTAGCTCAAATGTTTGATTACCAATGTAACGAGGCCGCGGTCTCGTGACTGAGCTGCGTGCATATCGCTGAGCCAAAAATAAAAACTGATATCAACGGATCCTCACGCGATCAGTGCCATCTGCGAAATGAGATGTGTATCCATTTTCCATTTCGATTAACTCTATGTTTCCAACGTCAAAATTACAATCGGCTAGATGGTGAAACTTGGTGATTTACGTACGTGCAGCTAACTCGTGCTTCACGCAGAATCAAGTACAGTGCAGAGGGTCAATCGCACTCGTCACATAATCACGTTTATTGTTTCGAGCCGATAGGTTTGCAAAAAATAAGATCATCTATATCCAAACGCCCAGTTTTTACACCCAAAATTGAGAGAAATATCGCCTTTCGAAGAACACGATGTATGACGTCATTCACGGGGGAGTAGAGGAGGAGATCTGAAAGTTCGTTTGCTTGATGATCTGTGGGAAGGTCGATGACCATTGGTTAATTTTTAAAAAATGCAGTGCATTTGTTTACAGTTCCATTCTCTTTGTATGTAAATAAATATCAAGGTACTCTTGCAATAACGTGCAAGATGCCATGATGTGCCTTACTTTCCTGTGAGCGCAAAGCGCCTTCATTTTTATATGCATGCAACATGGACATCCATGGGGCAATATTAGTTGCATCGAAGCTTCGTCCTCTCAACGCAGCTGTCTTCGGCGCCAGTGGATCGAGTCAATAGGAGAGGTCGGCCAAAATTTGGAAACTTTAAACGCTTGTAACTCCATTCATACAAAACTCTGAGGTTCGAAAAGTAGTTTCATTGGTCTCCTCGTGGAATTTTCTTCCACAAGCCCCCTTGAAATTTAAAATGTGACGAAATAAACATCAAAATTTGCAGTTTTAGGCAAACATTTCATGTCCGACCTCTCGAATTGACTCGAGCCACTGTGCGTCGGCTAAGGGTTGACGACGGAAGATAACATATATTTTGTCGCTCTCTGCTTAATGGTCTACCTACGTAGCCCAATAGCCATGGCAAGGCCCGCCATGGCAAGGCCCGCAAAGCACGAACTGATTTTAACAGTCAACTTTATGGAAAAGAAAAGATCCCGCAGACATAATACCGGAGCTATTTTTATTCTCGGGTTCCCTAAGTCACAACCTTTGCCAAGTTTTCTTCCGAAACTTTGCGGTACCTTTCCCTCCTATAAAATCACCCGAAGGAGAATAACGATGGCTGAAGTTGGAAAATACGTATTTCAAGTTGCGACGCCTAAAATACCGAAACCCTTTTAAAATTTTGGTAGAAAACGGATCCATTGCGCCTTTTAGCAATGTGTCTCCCCTTGACATTTTATTTGTAAAACTTATATTAACGGATCCATTGCGCCTTTTAGCTATGTGTCTTCCCTCGACCTTTTCTTTTTAAAACGTGCGAATTAAAGCTGCATGAAACTGTGCAAACATACTATGTTTATTCGTTCGGTTTACTACTCGAATACAAATTTTCACGAACGCCTACTTTCAGCTTGATATCTCAAGGTTCTACAGGGTGGCTCCTTTGAGAAGTAACAGCTGAACCGTGCCTCTACGGGCATGGCACATCCGGTTTTTTGCCATAAATTGAAATCGAAACCGGTAATTTAGCAAAATGAGTTCGATATCACGATGTTTGTTTAATTTTGATGTAGATTTACTTTAAAGTAAAAAAATGTGCTCACTTTGCAAAGCCCACGGTGTGAGTTTCTTGGTGGCATCTATAAAGGAACGCGCTTCAACGTAGCACTGGGCGTTTCTCGTCTTCAGCGGGGCGTAGAGTTCTAAAAAGGGATTCAGAGAGAAGAAAACGGTATTGGTGGAAGCACTGAGGCCCTGTCCAAAATACGAACAGAAGATCCCTGCCATGAGCAAGGCCCACACTCGTCCCCGCGCACAACACCACATCGCGATCACGAATTTCAGGCTGAAATTTTAAGCGCTGGGCGCATTTTCGCGACGACGCATAACCGCCGCGGTTTCGGCGATAACTGCCATCGGCCCGCGCGGATTGAATTAAAAGAAAACTTCGACGTGCGCAGTTGCCAAATTTGTCGATAAAAGAACAAGGAGAGGAATTGTTTTTTTAAAATTTCAATTGAAGCACAGTTTTAATAAAAATGCAAACGAAGTTAAAACCAGAGGCGGATCCAGCAATTTGGCAACATCGGGTTTCCTCCATTTTAACTTATGTTGAATAATCGATTTTGGTTGGAGCACCTGGCCCCTCCAAGAATCGATACATTTCCATAGATTCAAATTGGAAAAAACAATGTTGCCAATTTGCTGGATCCGCCAATGGAAAACAAATCGACACAGCATTTAAATAAAAAAAATTAGCATTGAAACATGGCTTGCATTGCTTTATTTTTGAGAAAATTTTTGGTCGACATAGTGTCTGTTTTTGAATCGTAATATCTACCGGGAGCATATTTTTCCTTTGATTTTGAAAACCGTTTTTTAATATTTCGATTTCAATTTTTGCGGTTCATTTATCTTTTAATTTGTAAACAAAAATATTTTTATGAATTATCGGGAAACTGAGCCAACTCCTCGCCATATTTTGCTAGATAGTAGGAGGTATGGTAATCGGGGGCAAAAAAATAGTGTATAAAATAGCGGGGGCTTCGTCCCCCCCCCCCCCCGCGACGATTGACGGTGGGTAAATTCGTAGGTCTAATCATTGCCACAGAAAATTTCTCACACCTCTACAAAATTTGACAACCTAATAGAATCAACAAGGAAAAGATTAGATTAAAGTACTTCGAGTCGTCTCTTTCCTGATATGAAACCTGCACTAACGGAGGAACGTGTAACAAGTCTTGTGATAACATTAAAAAACTACACAGAGCGTGGATTGTGACAAAGTTGCCCACTCTAATTGTAAGGAAAATTCATTTTAAAAAATGTCCTTATACTTGGCACGTGGCGGTCATGAAATAAACCACGAATTTTGAGCGGTTTGGCAACCGGGGCTGGAATGAGAAAATTTTGCCTAAAAGTACGATTAGGTAACCTTGTTGAGTTATTGCAGGTCTATGGCATTCACTCAACACGGAAAAGTTAACATACAAATATGATGGAGGAGAAGAGTTTGATCTAGTTTATTCAGGGTCCCAAATATGTAATTTTTCACCTATTTCCTCTATTATTTATTTGGAACACCTCAAATATACTTGAGCTAAGAAAAAAAGAAGAGGAAAAAAAATGAATCCGATTGACTTAGGGCCATTAATGACCCAGTAAATCTCTCCAAGTGGCAGATTCATCAACTTGTGAACAGTACNGGGGGGGGGGGGGGGGGGGGGAGCACGAGGCACTATTTAAAACAAACTATCTCTGTGTGGACAGGGCCTTTCATTTGTAAGAAATGAGCGAAAAAATTATGCAAGAACAAACATAAATGTGGTTTAACAAGTTTAACTTCCGCCGCCGCGCCGCGCGCTGACAGCACTGCGTTTGGTGCAACGCTTGAAGTATTCCCACAGTCTTGTAGGCGCTATGCGTTTTCCGCCGACCGCTGCGCTGCTGACCGTACTGCGTTTGACACGCGTGAAGTATTCATGCAGTCTTGTAGGCGCTAATATGTGTTATATGCCAACCGGACGCACCGAGGCGAGGGCTTTTCCTTTTCATCTCAAGTCCTCGTCATCATTGCTCTCTGCGCCGCGCCGCTCCAAGCCAAATTGCGTGTTTGGTTTCTCTCTTAACTCAACTAATTACAGGTGGTGCTGTCTCTTGTATCGCCGAAAGACGACATACTCTTAGGAAATGAGAGATTTTGTCACCTTTTCTCGTTTGTAATTTTTTTTCAGAATCCAATTTTTACTTTTTTTTTTATACCTACATTTACAAAAATTGCAAAATTTTCCGCCATGGGCCGCGGCTGGTGTTTGATTTTTTTCTACGAGGTATTTGTAGACCTGGATCTACTTAAAGCCTTAGCCACTCAACCCACGAGGCACTTGTTTTTAGAACACCTCGGGTCAATTTGACCCAGCTTGGGCACCTAGGGGCACTGATTCTCTCATTTTTTTTCTTCCTCTTTCTTCTCTTTCTTCTTCTCTCCTATTCATCTTCTCCTATTTCATACATTCTGTCTCGGATTCGGGATAAAAAAAAGAAGCAAACAAAACCAATTCTTCACACATGGAACATCTCCATTTAATGGAAAACAGCGTTATGGGAACTCTTACGTTACTCACTGTTTATTTGTAAAGAATACATGCGCTTGACCCCAAATTCAAACTTATCCTTCATACGGCATAAAAGCATACTTTCCATGAAAAAATTTGAATAAAAGTTGACGCGATTCAAAATGAATTCGGTGCACTTTTTGGCAACGATGTTTTTGTTTATGTTTATCATTTGCAACAACAAACTTTTTGAGGTTAGACATGCCATGTGAAATCGTCCAATTCCTGTTCGTCCTGAAAATTCATCTTATTTCTCCGTGTTTTTTCAAAACCTCTTTGTAAGTATTTAGTTATTTACTTAAGTATTTTTTCTAAGTGCAATCATGTCTGCAGGAAAAAAAAGGGTCTCATTTGGTTTCAGTAAGTTGGTGAAAAAACCAAAGGTAATACTTCCTGCTCTGAAACCAGCAGAGACTGTCAATTTCATTAAGTGTGTTGAAAACAACAGTGTTCAAGTGTTTGATGAAGTCATCGAAGATGAAAAAGAAGAACTAGTAATCCCCATGAAGCCATCTTCACAATCATCTGACTTTAAACCCGAAGCGACGGATTCCTCGAACAACCCTGTGCTTGATAGTAAAAAGCCGGAATCATTGGATGAATTGGCTGCCAAAGAACTCGTTGCTGAGGCCAACAGGCTTCAGAAAGAAGAAGAAGAAGCAAGTACGATTGTAGTACCTATAGTGTCAAATCTGCCCTCTGGAGAGAAAGAATCAACTTTAGAAGACTTTAAGAGCATTCCAATTGAGAAGTATGGCCTCGCCATGCTCCGAGGAATGAGCTGGAAGCCTGGCATAGGAATCGGTAAGAATGCCACTGGCAGGGGGATTTAACACTGTAATAAGTAGATCAAAGTGCTTAATCAATTGATACTGTCAATTGAATAGCAGATACCATACTTCTACATTTATTTCAAAATTTGTTTATATATTACTGGCTGAAGGAAAAAAATTCCAAGGTATCACCATCCAAGTGCTCCAAAATATCCAATCATGTCCCATAGGGTCTGTCCATAAATTACGTACTAAGACTCTCTGGGGGAGAGGATGGGTCCCTAACAGCCTTACGGTGCCTTAAGAGGGGGGGGGGAGGGGTATGGCTGAGCCTTATACAAGTAAAGAAAATGCAAAAATCCATTTTTCGTCGGGTTGATAGTAAAATCCAAGATGAAATAGAGGAAATCAGCCTATCAACAATTGCTTAGGGATGCTAATGAGAGGGGGAGGGAGGGTCTAAAAATGAGCAAAAGCACCTAACGCAATTTCTGGATGGCCCCATATTTCTGAATATCTTTTATACATTTTCTGTTAAGAATTTTTGAATGAGCAGAGCAGATTTCAAGAAAACCAGTTGTTTATTTTATTTTTTTAAGAAATGAATTATACCTAAGCTCTATTGCTTCAGAACTTGCAATGTCGCAATTAGAATTACGCATTTTTTTCTTTATTTATTCTTTTATTTTTTGGTATATTTTTGTATATTTTGAGGTATTATTTTTTTTTTCAGGTATGATTCAGGTATATTTTTTTTCTTTGTGTTAATAGGATAGATTTGCTCCAGGCATTTCTCAGCGGATCAGAGACGGCTAAGCATGATGAACAGACTTCTTCACAAATAAAAGCTGCCGCGATCTCATACTGGAAGTTGTGCCGAAGATTAACGGCCCTTTAAACGAAGGATAAAGACTGAGACAAAAGAGCTCTACAAAACCTCAAAAGACTGCTGAGTCCATTTAATTTAAGGACCCCAAAGTCTGCAATAAAACACAAACTAATCAATCGTTTAACTGCCATACAACAAGAGCTGCGGATGCGAACATTATCTGAATTTGTTGGTGTTTTCCTAAAGTGTTTGCAGTACCAGAAAATTTTGAAGAGGTGCATCGAAAGCCAAGCATGTATGAAACCATTTTTTTTTCTTCTTCATCTCTTTAATATTTTGCTGCAGAATGTATCTAAATTTGCAATGTCATTTCAGTTGTTTTTTCATATAAAATGAAAGAGGGGGTAATTGCTACCACTAGCCTAGCTAAAATAAGTCTGAATATTTTTTAGTCAACTTGGAAGAAAGTTCTAATATCTTTTTGACAACTTGAAAGAACAGTACAAAATCTGGAAGGAAAATTTCTCACTGTGCTGTTTTAGTATTTCTTTGAACATTTTATTTTTTTATGGAAGAACTTTCGCACAAATTAGTCTGAAAATTTCAATTTTTTCTCACAAGAGGAAAAAAAAAATCACAAAAAATTTAGGGGAAATTCATGTGACAGTGCCCTTATAAACAAATAAAATGTAATGAAGAAATATTGAAACAGCGTAGTGGAGATACATTTTGTCGTTAGAGGAACAACTTCTCTATCACTCATGCCGACTCTACAATTAACAACAACTGCCTAGCTGGAAGAGCAGGTAAATGAGGAAGACTATGAATTAATGTTTACTGCTATTGATGATCATATTTCAAAAAAAGAGTGCTCTACTCAATCTGTTATCAATATTGACAACTCACTGAAGTGGAGCCATTTGAATGAACATAATGCCATGTTGCCTAAATGGTAATATTTGTCAATTACTCAGTACCAAAACTTCCTCTGTCACTGAAAAATCTGCAGCCTGTTTTGTATCTTCTAAATTTCTGTATATCTTTTTTTTAGTACAAATGACATTATCGACTATTAGTTGATACTAATTAGGTATAGAGGAATTGCAGAATTTGGTTGCTGTTCGGACTCTCTGCATGTTTATACCGAAGAAATTATTTTGAATTGTGAACCAATTAACCAAAGTATTAAAAATGAACTAGAGTTGAAACTGGAATCAGGGGGTCTAAAATTATTTTTCGAGTGAAACTCAATTTTCTTGAAAAAATTCTCACACCAATTACTCGTCTGATTTGGCAATTGTATAAACATAAAGAATGGATCGAAATTGATGCCGAACAACTTTTTTCACTTATCTTCATTAAAAATATTGAAAGGTCGGAAGTGATACATTGATATTATCTTTCTCTTATTCCCCCTCACTGCTTTTCAATTCATATCAGAGACAGGATGTATATTGATCATGTGCCTTTATTTTATTATGCAAGCAATTTAGATAACTCTAGCTAGAAACTTAATCTGCTGCAATGTTTCAAGTTGTGAAAGTGCCCGACGTAAGGTACCTACTTCACGCAATCTGAGGCCTTTTCCAGTGCAATATTAATCATTCAAGCAGTCATAGTGGAACAATGATTTTTAACATCCAAAAAAATGTTATATATTCAGTAGCAGTTGTCTTTTTTTCATGGTAAGTGCTCACTCTTTAATTTCGCTTTTCCTGTCCTTTTCCAGCTTACATCCTCCAAACAGGAAAGATTCCTCATCTCGGAAGACTGACTGTGAGAATCACTCTTTGCAACTCAATCATCAGACTCCTCACAAGAGTCATGGTGCAGTGCTTTGCCAGATGATCACTGTTACACGTCAAATTTCAAAAGATCTTCCTGCAGAACTTCCCAAGCTTGTCATCACCAAAAAATTTTCCATCACCAAACTGCTACCCAGAATTCTGACAGAGGGTGGACTCCAAGATACTTCTGCTGTCATAATTCAAAAAGGTCCCTCACACTTCGTCCCTGTACCCCTCGTTCAGACCTCACCTGGTGTTTTTGTATTGGGTACATCTCTTGCTGATACTGTCAACATTAGGTTAGTATTAGATGATCTCTAGTGAATTCAAGTCCTAAACTTGTCACAGTTGTATGAAACTACCTATCAGGCAAGAGAGAATCTCTTTGAGACTGTGTAGCTTTTTGAGATTTATTCCCTAAATGAGATTTTGTCAGCAAAGATACTACTGCCTTGGTCTGACTCAAAAGTTATAGACTTAATTTTTGAATACCAACATGCATTCAAATTGTTTAAAAATTATGTAAGTTACTAGTTACTCAGTTGCTAGCATAATCAACTTTATTCAGTATTTAATAACATTGTATCTAATTCTGTTCCCAAGAAGTTGACAATAATCTAATAAAAAAAAAGGATACTACTCTGTCTTGAGTAGCCTCTGCTCTCCAATTCAAGTGCGATGCATCATCTCAATTTCAAGGAACTTGGCTTCAAAACTGCCTTGTAAAAAAACTTTCATATTTTTAACAGAAGTCAGGAAACTTACTACCCTAATCATGCTATGTGCAATCAGTATAATTCCATCCCAAATTTCACCTGCGGTCTATCAATACTGCTTGCTCTTAGTATCAAATAGGATGAATATTCATGTTTTACTGCTGAAAGTGTGGAACTTATGTTCTGCTTATCGTAGGATAACTAGTTCTTGAAAAGTCAGGACAAAGTCAACCTTGCTTTCGAAAAGCTTGAAATTCCTTCACCTGTCAAAGCTTTTGAGCAGCTCCGAATGTACTATTGACAGAGCTCAAATTTTTACCAACTGATCGATGGTGAAACTGCCTGAATCTGTATCTCGGTTTGCAACGTTGCCGGCTGCCTGTCATACTTTATTTTTCAAATGGAAAACCACGGAACACATCTTGGAAACTTCCATTATTTTTTTTATCTATATGAAAATTTCAAGCCATGATGTTAGTTTATTCTACCTAGAAAATTGAACTAGAAGTGTAGATTTTGAAACACCGGAAACATGATACACTGTTTTGCAGTTTCACTGTAGATATTTATCATAACAGCATTTTCATGCAGGAAATCCACGATAAGTCAGTAAATTATTCTCTCAGGAATTTCAGAAAGTCAAGAAGAAGTGAGGAGATTTCTAATGAGGAAACATGTCACCTTGTATTAAATTTCTTTTATTTCCCTTTTACAGTATGAATCCGGGAGTTTCTACAAGTGACAGTACATCAAGCGGTGAAACCAAAACTCTTTTTGATTTCACCGACAATGGTATCACTGATTTGAAAAACTGGAGGGAAATCTCTGACACGGTGCGAGATGTTGGCATGTCAAAAGCCTCGTTTGTTGTGCAGAAAACACAGAAGTTTCAGCGAGCTGTATTTTTTACGATGTTAAATCCACAACCTAACGGTGCAGGATTTGCTGGAGTATCGACTAGCACCCCGTTCAACCTCCAGAAATTCCAGAACGTTCTGATTCATGCAAGGGCTCAAGGCAGCGTCACCGACTACAAAATAGTTCTTAGGCACAAAGGTTTGAACCAGGAGCCTCACCCCACCTATGAACAGACTTTCAATGTGAGTCAAATCATTATTCCAAGCAGGACTCTAGGCAAGGGAAAGAACCTTAGTGCCATATATTTCAAAACTAAGATATTTCGACGGTGCAAGTCGGCAATCACATAACTCGTTTGCGGTGTCTGAAAATCTCCGCCTCGATGTTATTTTTTTTAAGGAGAACTAATTGACATCATTCCTTGAAGTTTTTGCAGAATTTTCTTCGCACAATGAAGGAAAATCATGGCAGTTTTAAAGAATTGCTGTTGAATAGTTTTCCGTTTAAAAAATAAAGTACGACAGGAAGTCTGCGACGTCGCAAACCGAGTTATGTGATTGCCGACTTGCACCGTCGATTTGTATCATTACTTACAAGAGTACTCTCTCCTCTTTTACTTTAAACGTTTTTCTGGTACCAAATACTTGAGAATGTTTGTTGGTGAAACAAGTGAGAATGTCTTGAATCTACGATACTTTGTAGATGTCTCTCACGTCTAGTTGAAATAGAGCCTAACTCTGCTTATTGATTCCTTTTACTTTTCCTTTCCATGGGGTTAAATCCCCCATGGTGGATTAATGTGTGACTGAAGTTTTTCTTTCAATTTTTATCAAATTATTGTCAGACGTTTACATCCTCCTCTCACAATTTCATCAAGGCTTCGGACCAATCAAAGAAAATCCAATCTCAACAGTTTAGAGCACAGTTGTCAGATTGTGCGAAAAAATAAGGATACCTTACATGGGTTGAAATAAGGAAAGATGCTGATTTTTCACCACTATCTGGCAAATATGGTTTAGAGATCTAGACCTTATACTTAAAGAAATTTATATGTTGAAGTGTTTCAGTCAGTTCTCACCTCCAGGAGTGGTCCTCTGGGCATGTTATGAATAGATGGACAATGTAAAGTTCTCGTAGGGAAATTTCTGTGAGGAATCGGCTGCTTTGAATTGTCCTGACATCAACCTTGACAAAATTTTGTAATGAAACTTCCAGAAATTTGGCGTAGTGTCCGTCATACTGTATACTATGTGTGAATCACAAATTCCAACTGATGTTTGCTAATGCTTTCTTTATTTTCATTTCAGGTGCCATTAAATGAATTCACCACCATTAGTTTACCTTTGTCGAATTTTGATCCGTATTACCGAGGTCGCAAGCTCAACTCTTCCGAAGCTGAGCCTTTGGACACCTCTCAAATTTCTAGCTTTGGATTCCAAGTTTATGGTGGAGTTTACCATCCCAAAAAACAGAGTGGTATATCGGCGTTTGAAGTTGACTGGGTGAAAGCAAAATGATGCAATGTAAGTGGTCATAACATGAAATCATATTTAAACCGAAATCAGCCTAATTGCACTTCTCGTTGCCTAATTTTCTCTCATATTTTATTTTTTCAACGGAGAACCATCTATATATTTAATATCCTGAGGCCTTTTTTGGCCTCCAACAGTTTGTGCTAATTCGATCTCGGAAACTACTGGACCGATTTTCCTCGGATTTGTTTTAAATGAAAGCTCTTAGGCTGTAGACGTGCCAACATCCCTTGATTTTTCGATTTGCGCGACCGACGTTGCAAAATTTACCTCGATTTGATAACGACATATTTGCATTTTTGACGCTGGACAGTTTGCGCTAATTCGATCTCGGAAACTACTGGACCGATTTTCCTCGGATTTGTTTTAAATGAAAGCTCATAGGGTCTAGATGTGCCAAGACCCCTTCGTTTTTCGATTTGCGCGACCGAAGTTGCAAAATTTACCTCGATTTGATAACGACATATTTGCGTTTTTGACGCTGGACGAGTCATATGGTTGGGGGACCTCCCACCCTCTGATTTTCCGTTTCCCTCTCCACGTAAACCCATCCCTACCTGCTCACAACACGTGTCACCCTTCTACCCTAGCATGGGTCCTATGGCAGTTTCACTCATGTCGGGGGTCGGCTCATGTCTTCTTCCAAGAGAATTGGTGATTTATCTTCACCCTTTCGCACCGTTACATTTTCAAAAAGTGTTCTGATTTTCTTTTCCAGGAGTGTTATTTATTTTTCAAGGTTGTTTCTTTTTCTAAAAGTAGGTAATTTTTAGTTTCCTATTCTTTGTTTTTGAATTTATCATTTTGCCTCCAGGAAGTCCTCTAAGCACTGGTAGTAGCAAAATTTGGCTCGCGAAGCGAGCCAACAGTTACTCGCGGAGCGAGTAACTGGGGGTCCAGGGGGCTTGCCCCCGGCTAGCGGCGCAAGCGAGCGTAGCGAGCTGAAGCAGCTAGTAGCACTTAATTCCTTAAAAATTCTGTGAATTTACCGTGGAGTATGAGCAATTTGCTCACAAAATTTCATTGTTGCTTGGTTTTCTGTTGAAAAAATAAAACATCAGAAGAAATTAGGCAACGTCTGATGTGGCTAGGCTGATTCTGTTTAAACCCGTCAAGTTTGCATATTCTTGACCTATGGAATAGTTTCCCCAAAGCAATATGGACTCTTTTACAACTGAATGTATTGCCTTGAAACTTCCTACCTAGCAAGTTAAAATACCCCTGGAATTTTAGATCGCTTCAGCACAAACATAATTGGCGAATTTTTGCCTGTTTCTCCCTGTGATTGCTGATTTATATGCCTCTATTTTGATCCCATGAAAAATGTTTGTTATACCATAGGTTTCTTAATGTCCAAGTTGAGTGGTTTTTAAAGCTAGCCATTTGGTTAAGATAAGTACAAGTCTATAATTGCCATATATTCTGAGATGTGAAGGAAAACTAAATCATAGTGCTGTTGAGAAATCCTGCATAATAGAAAATTGACAAAATTTCTTATGCACGTAGCATCTTTTCATTAAATATGTATAGCTAAAAGAGAGAGGTGGAGGTCGAGGAGAGCTTTACTTTGTTGACAAAATCTAACTTAAGGGGAAAGGAGATAATCCGTGAATGAGCCTGCACTCTTGTGGATAACTTACGAGGGCCTGTCGAAGGGTCTTAAAGGACGCAAAGCGCCCTTGGGAGCAATGTAGTTCAATTATTTGTGGAAGTTGCTGATTCTTTTAAAACTAGTAAAAAGATTGCTTCGTAACCTGCACTTTTTACTAATTATTCCTGTATGTCTGTTTGACTTGAATTCTCTGAGATAGTATTCTGACTGTGATTGGTTTTAAGGTTTAGTGAATGTTAATTTTTTTTTTTTTAATTTTAATACTAGATTTTTGGAGGAAAAAACTTGTGCTTATACTGCTTTAAATAGCAGTGACGCTTCTGCATTGCTCAAGTATTTGAAGACGCTCACTTCAATCTCATTTGTAGTCAAACTCGGACTTTCCATGTTTTTCTGTTTGTTTGCAGTCATCACAGTAAGTTGTTTTTTTTTTTGTTTTACTTGATGATGTATTTGTGATTTTTAGATACGTTTAAAAGCCGTTATTATAAATTTATTTATTCTTCACTTCGCCTTTTTTTTATTTTTTTAAAAAAATGTTAATCTCTTTCCTAGAAATAGTTTTACATTTTATACTATCGCAGACTCATAATTCTCCCATTCCTCCTCCCGCCCAAATGATTTTGAAAAAATTAGACTCTGTTTTGAAATTGAGAAAACTTCTGAAGCCCTCTGACTAGAAAAATTTCTCCATAGCTTCTCTTGGATATTAAGCGCATTCGAGTGAACTGAGTATTTATCAGGCAGCTGTAAAAATTTCAGAAGAAAATCCATGCCTTTTTGCTTAGAATGGGCCACTAGACGAAGTGCAAATTTAAGCTTTATGATATTGATTCCCTCATCAGAATGTCTTGTAAAACACGTGCAAAACTAAAAAAAATTAAAGAAAATAATTGAGAGTAACTCCTAATTAAGATATTAAGGTTTTTCGATGCATAAATCTGAACTTCCTGCCAAAGAAAGAAAGCCATAATCTACTTGAGTTCAATCTTGCACTAAACGTTACTGTAAAAGTCTACGGTATGAATATGGATTTCTTAAACTCGGCGCTGCAGCCCAGCTGTTGCTTGTCCTTCGCACTTTGAACAAAGCAGAGCAGTCTAGAAACACTGCTGTATTAAGAAACTGGTCAAACCATTTTAGTGCGCAATTTGATTCAAGTAGGCCTGGATTTTTCATATGAACAGGAAATTCAACTTCTTTTTAACCAGTGACAAGTAGATACATTCATTTGTATTTCATATGTTAGGAGTTTAAGTCAGTAATTTTCGGTGTACAGATCACTTTTTGCCTAAAATTTTGAAGAGATACTACATCAGGATACTTAAATTTGTACTTAGACTGATGGTTCATTACAGACAGTTAAAAACAGGAAACTTGCATCTGAAAACTTTCAAACTGTAAACTTTCCTGCTCATTCCATTTTTCGATTTCCTGCTTAGTTTTTGTCAAATGTTTTTAAATATTTTTATCGCACCACCAAGCCAGAGAAAAAAAGAAAATGTTAGAGTCCAAAGAAATATTGAAAGGAAAATTTATTGCAATGTACCATTTTTACAGTTTGAGTTGTCAACAACATGTTCTCAGTTCGCAATTGACAAAATTAATGACAGTTGCAATGTAGAGGTCTTTAGCTGAAAATTCAGAGCTAAAGGTTACTAAGGTGGCTCTCTACACTTGAAAGCTCTATGATCGGCAGTTGGGTGTGGATTTTGATTATCAAATAGACCACAATCAATAAGGCACAACAATTGATAAAACTTAATTTTACGTATCTTAAACCTAAATTAAAAACAATTAAAACAGCACTTAAAGAAGTTAAAGTTAAGCACCTACCAAAAAAGTATCGTCTGCATTTTTGCCTAGCAGATTTTTGTGCTTTGTTTTTTAGTAGCAAGCATTTGAAATGTTTTACCATAATGTTTTAAATTTCTCAGTGCAAAATTGCCTCCTAATGAATAAAAGTTGAAAATAGTCTGCGATGTTTCAAATGCAGAAAAGTTAAAAAGTGTGTCTCAAGTACGAGGTAACATCAGAACGTTGAAAAAGTAAAAATATAGAAAAGACCTGGCAGAGAAATTAAAATAAAAACCGAATGAAAGGTAGAAAAGCTTGTATTTAGTTGAGGTATGAAGGTTTTTTTTTTTGAGTTAAAGACACGTTAGAACTTAACAAGTTATTCAAACATGTCTTTCGCTTAGTTGCCTATTCTATATTTGAATTACTTTTTAAAAATTTCTGTTCTGAATAATTAATTTCCTACCTAATTCCTCATTTCTGACGAAGAAAAAAGAAAATAACAGAATTTTGGGAAAGTCTTGAACGGAATTTTAATATTTATAAATTTACAGCATCAAAGGACGGAGAGACCGATTTTGTATTCTCCTCTCTTGAGAAAATTTATTGATTACCTACTTGAGCTTCGAGCACTGGAAAAAAGTCTATGTACATAATTAAAACTTTACACATTAAAATTTGAAATAAATAACTTAACAATAACAACAGTGATTGCAGTGGCTTGCTCCTTTTTTTCTTGCTTTTCATCAGCATATTTTCGAAATATCAGTGGACTTCCTCTCTGAGACTTCCGATGTAAGGAGAGTGCCGTATGCCAAAGGTATGAGCTGGCGGAAGATCTAGTTGCACCTTGAACAGATGAAAAACGAATTTTATTAAGCATTGCTCTCTCTAAGCGGGAAAAAGACATTCATAGGATGAAATTCAAGGGCTGTTCAAGTATCATTAAGGATTTTAAAGAAGTAAGGCATTTGTTACAGAAAACTGAAAACACTAAGTTGATGTGTTAGTTCAAAAATCACACATCCTCACTATCTCTTCGGTCAAAAACTCAGAATCAGATCATTTGAGCTTACTTTCATGGACAGAGGAGCTTTGTCCCTACAATTTTAACAACATGAATGAATTTTTTTCATGGATTTTTTTCATTTTAACATGAATGGTTTTGAAGAAAATTAATAGTGGGTCTCAAAATCTGCAGCTGGCATAGTAATTAAAATCAATTGGAGTGCTCTTTTAAAGAAAAAATTAATTTGGTTTTCTCTATTCTCAGCTTGAAATGTGACTATAGTCATGATCAATCTAACAACAAATTTAACTACGATGAATCTGAAAGGAAAAAGGCACATTGCATTAATATACCATAAAATATGGTATTACAATAGTATTGCCGCGGGACGCGAATTGGACGGGTTCGCTTCTTTGAGCCGAAATCAGGATTTTGAACTCAGAGGATGAGAAAATTCCTAAGGACATAAAAAGACTTACTTTTTCTGGCGAATAAGCACCAGGGCCAGGCTTCGGTGTTGTGTCTCCGGGCATTTGGTACCTTGAGCTCACAGAGTAGGCAGGCGACTTGGGTTTGATACTATCAGCGTTAGCATTGTTGTATGTTCCAGGACCTGGGACAAAAACCCGATCATCAACAAATTCTTTCTGTCGCCCTGATATACTAAAAGCAGGCGCAGCTTTTTTATCGCCTTCTTTAGTTGCACCCAGCGTGGATGGAATGTTATATACATTGGGAGCTGTCGACATACACATGCAATGTTAGTATTGGATTATCGAGGTAGACTGCAACTTCTGGTTAACAAACAACATAGGTATTAGTATTACTGAAAGATGGAAAAATATTAGCAGACAGTAGAGACGTTTTATTTTCTTTAAATTTGGTTAGGTAGTAATGATAATACCTGGATGTAACCGTCCATTGGAAAAGGAACTTAAAAGGGCAGAGCAAACTTTTTAAGGAGGGCAATTTTTATCATCAGTGGCGAGAAAATCGAAATTTTAGTTTTTAACCGAAAATTAAAATCTCCAGTATCCCAAATTATAAGGCACAGGTGGATCGTTGCACAGATTTAAACGGAATCAACCTAACTTCATCAGGTGTTGCCTGATTTTATTTTTTAAACAGAGAAGTGAGCAACACTGAAACTTGAAATTTTGTGAGTATATTCTTCATAATCTAGGGGAGGGAAGTTTTTTGTGAAAAAAATTAAACAAGAGGAAATTAGGCGACATGAAAAGTAGTTAGGCTGATTTCAGCAGAATCCATCCGGTTCATTTCTTGCCAACAAAAGAGTATAGAGTTATTATTTCTTTCAACAGTTTTGAGCTGGAACATGGCACATTACAACCTTCAGTAGCATTTCTTGAAATCTACATTTCTTCAAACCGTTATGTTCGTTTGACATTTTTGGGTAATTTTTGTGATAGGGTAAACAATGTTCGCAAAATGCTCCTCGGATTAGAGGCACCAAAATCTTTATCTCGAATATTTTGGCACTGAAGATACTTTTACTTTGGACGGTCACAAAAGGGTTAATACTCACAAGAATATTAATTCCTGTAGTTAATTGTTAATTGGAGACGTAGAAAAATTGGGTTTTGTTGCAGTGCAGAGAAGATATTGATCAGAAGAAAACAGTAAAGGATGCACAAGCCGAAATTTTTACAGAGGAGAAATGTAAATTACAGCTTCTCAGGTGCAAAATTCTAAAATACTGAATGAGTAAGCTAGGTGATAACGATCATGCTCTTACTTGTTAGATGGGGCTGTTCATAAAATACGAAACGCTTAATTTTAAATTCTGCAAACCCCCCTCCCCTTTTTACAACAGTTTTGGGATTAAGGCCCCTATCCGTTAACAAATTAAAACAAAATGACGTAATGATTTCCTCGCCACCCTTCCTCCTAGAGCGTTACATGTTCCATGAATCACCCTACAGCAAATAGCTCTCGTCATGAATTATCAAAAATATACTCTATTATATTATGTGAATCAATTTGTGCTGAATTCTTTGCAAGAAAAATAATTTGCAAAGTGCAAATCTAAGGAGAGAACTACGCAGACAAGGTCCACTCTTGCTCTGAGGAAGAAACCGATTTACCCATAGCATTCCGGCGGCGAAGAGTTAAGCATTAAAAATTCTAAAAGGATTAAAGCATACATGCCAGTTTTGAATTAAATATGTCACTTGTCATCATGATGCTGGCTGCAAGAAAAAGTTAGTAAACATGTAGAGAAATAATTTAAAATAGTTAGAACTGCTTCAAGTACCAAAAAAAAAGAAAACTAAGAGGTTTTTGAGCTTTTAATCTTAAGGACACTTTATAACATGGGGTTACGAATAATTCATGCATGGTTGCTTAGAGATTCAGTACAAATGATACAGTGGATCCCTGTTCATTTGGAGTCAGATTATCTGCAGCCGTCTGGAGCACTGATATTTTGTTTTCTGCAACTCTTGAACTGCGTGCAGTCTTTTTAGCTAATAGGTTTTTTTAGCATAGTTAAAAGTGGTTTGTGGAAGTGAGAAGGGAGGTTTTGCATTGACTGTACTAAAATTCATTTGAAATTTGTCAAAGTAGTCCGATGTAAATTCACCTCACAGGAGGAAAGTAACTTAAACTGTAAAATCAAGAAGAATCAAGTACCTGGTGTATTTAATGGTTTTTCTATTTGAGTCTTGAGACCGAAAGAATACTGGATTGTGTGATCAAATGCTTCGTAACTTTTTTCAGGGCAGTACGTCCCAGGTGCTGGTGTGCAAACAAAGAACAATGAATTATTTAAAGAGCAACATGCAACTTTATGTACGATATTCCTGTCAAAATTGTGGAATTATTCGCATTTGATCGGTTTCATGAGGAAAATATCATAGACCAAAACAGTATTATGCTTGGTAGTGGATAAAATCAATGCCCAACAGAAAACTGATTAACATCTTGGATTTTAATGAAGATAGACTCGTTTGCAAGTAAATGACTCAATTTTTTTAGAGGTACGCTTGCTATAATTGAAATCTCTGGTGAAAAAATCTTGTAAGCTTATTTTAAAATTTCAGTGCCTCTTATTATAGTTCATTCTGAAACTAATCCCAACTGGAAGGTATTTCACTTAAAAATTTCTCTCGATTTTTACAACAAAAAATATGCAGAAAACTTTTATGGATCACATTCTTTGATCATTTTTTTTCATTCTCCTTTCGTAATATTTTGTTACATCGGATTTTCACAGAATAGATGCAAACATTCTTCTGGGAAATACTTCCATAGCGCAAAATAAAGATTTTCAGTTGTATGTGCGGTGACAAGTTAGTTTGCAAGAGAAGCAACTGATCCTTTTTCATTAGAATAAAAACCTGTGTCATGAGCATTGAGCATTTTGTAGGTGCATTGGATTTGGTGCATAATTTTATTTTTTTAATGTATTTACAGAAAATGAAATGAGATGTTTTTGATGCAGAGCCGAATGTACTGAATGACAGTCAATCAGGATATGAGTTTTGATTACCCTGACCAAAAAAACAAAATCATAACTATGTTTCAAACAGGATTATGAATTCCACTTCCTGCAAGAATTACCTCCTGAACAAATTTTTGTCTCAGAAGCCTAGAAGGCGATGTAAAGTTCTTAAAAAAAAAAAAAAATCAAAACACTTATGATGTCAACGAAGTTTGAAGCTCATGAAAAATTAATCATTCAATACAACACAGCGGCATTATGTGGAATTTCACTTGTTGAAAAATTCCGACAAGTATGCCTAATAATGATGCATTTTGAATCAAAGAAGCATCTTCACCTGGCGTGTTAAGAGGTTTTTCAATTGAAGTTCTGAGACCAAAAGAGTATTGAGGTTTGTGGTCTACTGCTTCAAAGAATTTTTCCGGGTTATATGAGCCAGGTGCTGAAAAAAAAAAAAATGAAACAATTAAAGTCACGAGTAAAATTTTAAAGCACAGTCATGTGAGGCTTTCATTTTTGAAATTTTAGACAATATGAGTCGATAGACTATATCAAACTTATTTCATTCAGGATTTTCTTGAGTAGACAAAGATTTTTTTTCTCCTCGCATAGAGAGGGGGAAAATTTAATGGAAAGGTGCTCTTGTAAATTAAATGCAATCAAATGTTCCAAGAAATGAGCAGTTAAGTGAGGAGAAAATTGAACAGAAAAAGATCAAGCGCAGATGTTTTACAGCTTTACATGGTGCTTGATCGTTGCTTTTTGGAAAATGCTTGAAGCAACGCATATTTGTACATTAAAATTAGAAACAAGAGCATGTGCTCGGTATTAATGCACTGATTCCCAAGGTAAGTGAAACAAACCTATGCAGACCACCCTAAGTTGACAATACAACCCGTTGTGTAGGCGCCTTTTCAGTCTTGGAGGGAAGTTTGGCCCAGGCGGAAGAGTCAATCGATGAAAATCGAATATTGCAAAAGTAGAACCTATCTTTCAAAGCATAGGGGAAAGAGCGGACCAAAAAGAATTGAATACTGTAGAATTAGAACCCTTTTTCTAATTTCCTGCCAAGACTGAAATGAAAGCAACGTTACAAACGATTTGTTGAGTTTGGATGCTTGAGTAAGGGAAGAGCATACCTTCGTTTCACTTACCTTGGATTGACGCTGCTTAGAAGGTCGCCTCAATTCCTAAAACCACTGTAAAAAAAATACTTTGAGGACATTTGCTCCGACAAATTAAATTCTAGTCCCACACTTTATTCTTTATGTCAACTTCAAATCTCAATGTTTGAAAACTTCAGTTATTTTCATGTAAGATTCTTTTTGTTATGCAAAAGACAGGACGCACTACTTACAAAAATTTGACAAAACATACCTGGAGTGTCTTTTGGCTTTTCCAAAGGTGTTCTCGTTCCAAATGAGTACTGAGGTTTGTGATCAACAGCCTCATAAAATTTCTCTGGATTGTAAGCTCCCGGAGCCGGAGTGTCAACAGGCTTTTCTAAATTAGTTCTTGTTCCAAACGAATACTGTGGTGTATGATCTACTGCCTCATAGAATTTCTCAGGGTTGTAACTACCTGGAGCTGGGGTGTCTTTTGGTTTCTCAATCGGAGTTCTAGTACCAAAAGAATATTGAGGCTTATGATCGACAGCTTCATAGAATTTCTCGGGATTATAGCTCCCAGGTGCAGGTGTGTCTTTCGGCTTTTCAATAGGAGTTCTAGTACCAAAAGAATACTGAGGTTTATGATCTACAGCTTCGTAGAATTTCTCAGGATTGTAAGTTCCAGGAGCTGGAGTGTCTAAAGGTTTTTCAATTGGCGTTCTAGTACCAAAAGAATACTGAGGTTTATGATCTAATGCTTCGAAACTCTTTTCGGGGTTATAGGAACCAGGCGCTGGTGTATCTAAAGGTTTTTCAATTGGCGTACGCGTACCAAAAGAGTATTGAGGTTTATGGTCTACCGCTTCAAAATATTTTTCTGGATTATAACTACCAGGTGCTGGTGTATCTAAAGGTTTTTCAATTGGCGTACGAGTACCAAAAGAGTATTGAGGTTTATGGTCTACAGCTTCAAAATATTTTTCTGGATTATAACTACCAGGTGCTGGTGTGTCTTTAGGTTTTTCTATCGGTGTCCTTTGCCCGAACGAGTACTGTGGCTTGTGATCTAATGCTTCATAACATTTATCAGGGTTATAGGTACCAGGAGCTGGGGTATTGAGTGGCTTTTCAATAGGTGTTCTTGTTCCAAAGGAGTATTGTGGCTTGTGATCGACAGCCTCATAGAATTTTTCAGGGTTATAAGATCCTGGAGCAGGTGTGTCTAAGGGCTTTTCGATTGGTGTGCGAGTTCCAAACGAGTATTGAGGCTTATGATCTAAGGCTTCAAAACTTTTTTCAGGGTTATATGCCCCAGGCGCAGGAGTATCTACAGGTTTTTCAATTGGCGTCCGAGTACCAAAAGAATATTGAGGTTTATGGTCTACCGCTTCAAAATATTTTTCTGGATTGTAACTTCCGGGAGCTGGTGTATCTTTTGGTTTCTCAATTGGTGTTCTAGTGCCAAAGGAGTACTGTGGCTTGTGATCTAATGCTTCAAAACTTTTATCGGGATTATACGCACCAGGAGCTGGGGTATCCAAGGGTTTTTCAATGGGTGTTCTTGTTCCAAAAGAGTACTGTGGCTTGTGGTCGACTGCTTCATAAAATTTTTCAGGGTTATATGATCCTGGAGCAGGTGTATCTAAAGGTTTTTCGATGGGGGTACGAGTTCCGAAGGAATATTGGGGCTTATGATCTAAAGCTTCAAAACTTTTTTCGGGATTGTATGCACCAGGTGCAGGAGTGTCAACAGGTTTTTCAATAGGCGTTCTGGTGCCAAAAGAATACTGTGGGCTGTGGTCCACTGCTTCAAAATATTTTTGTGGATTATAACTACCAGGAGCTGGGGTATTGAGGGGCTTTTCGATGGGTGTCCTTGTTCCAAAAGAGTACTGCGGTTTGTGATCCACTGCTTCGTAGAATTTTTCCGGATTATAACTACCAGGAGCAGGAGTATCCTTGGGTTTTTCAATTGGTGTTCTACTGCCGAATGAGTACTGGGGTTTGTGGTCTAATGCCTCAAAACATTTTTCAGGATTGTATGCGCCGGGTGCTGGGGTGTCTACAGGTTTTTCAATTGGAGTCCTTGTGCCAAAAGAATATTGAGGCCTGTGATCAATTGCTTCAAAATATTTTTCTGGATTGTAGGCGCCTGAACCTAAACATTTTTGTTAGATATTAAAGTGAATTTTTTAGATGACAAAAAGAAGAAGAAAGTGACTTTACTAAAATAGCTGTGAAATTAGGCTAAAGATAATTGCTGCCATATTTGTGAAAGGAACAGAAACAGAAAATCAATAAGATATTCTTTCTTCGGATAAATTCTAATGAATTATCTCGTAAACATTAGTGTAGAAGCAAGAGGATAGTTCAAGCAAGAATTGAACAAAAGTAAGATAAAGGGTCATTGTGTGGTTGAATACTTTTTTGACAAGCACCTTATTCACGTTTTAGTATAAAGGGTTGAAAATGAGATCAACGAAATAATAATGTTCTGACATAATTTTTTTGAGGCATAAGTGTTTCACGTTCAAAACGCAAAAAATAAGAGTAACATGATAAAACCGGTAAACAAAAATAAAGCTTTTGCTTTTAAAGCTCATAACAAAACAAAAATTATGTGTCATCCTAATCAAAATTTTTACCTGGTGTTATCACTGGTTTTTCAGAGGGTGGCTTTGAACCGAAGGAGTATTGTGGCGAATTCTCCTGGAGGACCTTGATAGATTTATCAGGATTATAATCACCAGGGGCTGAAGAATTTCACAGGATTGATGTTATTTACAAATTAATTACACAAAGAAGAAGAGGAAGCATTCTAAAATATGCAATTTACTGCTGAATCAAGCGGAGAAAAAATCCAATAATAGACTACAATCAGGAAGCAAACTAAAAAAGAGTTGAGGATTGCAATCACTAAAACTTATGTGTTTTCTACTGTGCTATTTGCAAACGGTGATTCAAGTAAGATAACGCACTTTTTACATCACTACATATTTACAGTGTAGAAAATTAAAAGCCAGACAAATTTTTGAAGCTAAAAATTACAATAGTGCAGGAGTTGGAAACTTGAAATACTTAGGTACCTATTTGCTTTCATTCAATTTAACTAAATTTCAAGCGGTGCATTTACTTTTTTCAACGGTGCAAACTTATCTAAAAACAAAACCCAATTTTTAAGGATTTAAAAAAAAAAAATACCTACTCCAATAAAAATTTTGTTGAATTAATCTATACTTGTAAGATTAAACACGAACATATTTTTTCCTTGGTTAGATTCTAAACAGTTTAAGGTGATTTGTATCTAATTTGTACCTGTCATTTGTTTCTACCTATTTTTTGTTTTCATTGCTCATGGAAACGATTTCCTTTGGAATCAATGTGAGTAAAATTCTCACAATGCTTTTAACTCTCTAAAAATCACTTCTGTATTAAGTAATACAAAATACATACAAATCACTAAAGTACAAATTAAATAGGCGGTTGACCCATTATGGCAGATTCTAAGATATTACAGAAACATGTTTATACGGGAGTCTTTTGAGATTGGGTCTCTTCTCATGGGTAATGCAAGTGCGATAACTGTTCCAATACCGACTGTGTGCTTTTAATCATTAGCAGTGGCCCATTTCTGAAAATTTAAATGGACTTAACTGTTAGATATAAGTCCCAAGATTTTGAAGAGCTGAAGTCATCAAAATCATTGCACCAATTCTGAGTTTTGACAACTTTTCAACCTCATAACCCCATGAACGCACTTAGTTTTGGAACAATTACTTGACATCTTCTTGGCTTAGTGTGTTAATGATGAATCAGGTTAATCTGGGGTAAAAAAAGAAAGTTAAAGCGACAACAATTAGATATTTTATACCATTCAGCCGCTAAATTAAATTACCTGGAGTTGTGTTCGGCTTGTCTACACTAGTCTTCAATCCAAAAGTGTACTTTGGAGAACTGTCAGCAATGACTTTCTCTGATTTTTCGGGATTGTAGTCTCCTGGAGCAGGAAAATTTTCTATTTTCGTTTCTTTCGGTCGAGAGTGGAGGGTTGCAGCAGGTGGGGTGTCTTTGCCTTGAATAAAAAAACGAAAAAGTCATAATTCTCACCTTACAAAGGTTTAATCCTCACTGGGGGGGAACTCATGAGATAAAATCAATCTGCAACATTATGAATCGATAAGTGCAACACCTACGTACAATAAGCAAAATTTCAAGTTTTGTTCTGTCAGGTTGGTTACCCTGCACATAAAAAACTAGGAAATAGATGTTAAAAACCTTGTTTTTCTGACCTTGAACTCTATTTTAAACATCCCCTTACCTTTCTTTGTACTGAAATTCGATAATTTTTTCAGTTTGCTTTTCTATTTTTCAGAATTTATACTAGTAATTGCACATTAAATCAATGAAAACTCCTCCACAAAAACTCCACATGCTACTTTACGGGCGAGGTGCAATGGATGTGTAGGTAGAACCCTAAAAATATGGTCGGAGTTTTGCTGTACAAAAATTACCTCTTTTCACCCTCTTCTCCCCAAAATAAACATTTCTCCTGTGTCTAATAAAAAATAAAAGTATAATGAAACAAGGAAGAAATCAGAAACTTGTTTTTTCAAAAACCTTATCATTACAGAAAGTAGGTATGTACATCACCTCTGCCACTTTCTAAATTCAGTGTAAAATCACTGAATAAATTTAGCTTTTGATTTGAGATTTGGAAAGCAAAGCTATAATGACTTATAAATAATTTGCTTTTTGTTCCTAAAACAATTAAAAAATTTAACTTTGACACCGATTTTAAATAATTCAAAAAAAAATTGAGGCCAAAAAGCATCAGTTGATGAATTCATTTTTGACTCACCTTTAGCGCTTAGTCCAGTTATATTGTACTGCCCTGGGCCAGGCCCGATGCTATCATTTTTTCCACTGTGCCTGGAAAAAGAGGAAACATTTTGGTTATTGATCAGCATGAGAGCTGAATTATGTTAATTTTTGGCAAAACCAGTGTGAATGAGCTCTAGTTAATTAAAGATGAAAAAAATACCTGTAATCAAAATTTCATGAGTTTTTCCGCACATCAATTGAATCGGCTCGTGCGAAAACCGCTAATGTCCATTTTTTTCAATTTTTAGATTTTTGGGTTAAAATACTCTCGGAGGTCAGACACACTCAGTAATGTGGTGAAAAGTGCTTGTTCCTTAGGTTTGAAGCCCTTTTCAGGGGGGGCCGTAGTCCGAATCATGCGAAAACCGCTAATGTCCATCTTTCGTTATGTGCCTTATTATACTGCACAACAATCCAAAATAAAAAACGTCTCCTGGACGACATTAGGTGATCTATATGCATTTTAAGGCGCTGAATCCGAATATGACCTCGGTTTTTTTCCATCACCCTCCAATTTTCCGGAAAAGCCGATTTTACTCGGAAAAATGACCATTTTTGGGCATTTTCAGTGTTTTTCCGACTGTTAGCCCCTGCAGAATGTAGGTAAAATTTTTCGTAGCTGCGAGATTCAATTATCCCGATGTCTTTTTAACTGATGAGTCCGGAAATGACCTTCATTTTTCCCGTTCACCTCTCAGTTTTCAGGGAAAGCAACCTTTTCCCGGGAAAATGAGCAAATCCAACGCATATTTGTCGTGAATGCAATTTATTTTTATAAATTTTCCTGGACCCGTGGTAGTCTGTTACTTATATATTTTGAGCTGCTAAATCCGAATATGACCTCGATTTTTCCTATCACACTTCAGATTTCCGATACAGCCGAGTTTTCCGAGCCTACAATTGTGTATTGTAAAAGCTATGCCGGATTGAAGTGTATTCAAAATTCATTGTATAAATGTCTCCAATATGTGATACATTGATTCCTTTGTATTTTGATCTGTTGAATTCAAATATGATCTCAGATTTTTCCGATCACCCATCATTTTTCCGGAAAAGTCGATTTTCCTAGGAAAACGCTCTTTTCAGATATTTTTGCGATGATTTTTCTGCTCCAAGGACTCGGAAAACTCGGCTGTATCGGAAATCTGAAGTGTGATAGGAAAAATCGAGGTCATATTCGGATTTAGCAGCTCAAAATATATAAGTAACAGACTACCACGGGTCCAGGAAAATTTATAAAAATAAATTGCATTCACGACAAATATGCGTTGGATTTGCTCATTTTCCCGGGAAAAGGTTGCTTTCCCTGAAAACTGAGAGGTGAACGGGAAAAATGAAGGTCATTTCCGGACTCATCAGTTAAAAAGACATCGGGATAATTGAATCTCGCAGCTACGAAAAATTTTACCTACATTCTGCAGGGGCTAACAGTCGGAAAAACACTGAAAATGCCCAAAAATGGTCATTTTTCCGAGTAAAATCGACTTTTCCGGAAAATTGGAGGGTGATGGAAAAAAACCAAGGTCATATTCGGATTCAGCGCTTCAAAATACGTAGGGTGTAACCTTCTTTACCCGAAAGGCATAATGAAAAATATGCGTTTTCGATTACTTAGAACCGACCATGCACGAATCATGCGAAAACCGCTAATGTCCAGTTTATTGCTGGTAGTTTCGTGATGAAACTTGCTTTGAGTGCCGCAATTTTCAAGAATTTCAGTTTTAAAACTTTATTTGAATGATAATCTACCGTTTTAATATCTTTAGAATGAATTTTGAAAGTATCAAACGGCTCCAAAACTCAAAGATTTTCACGAATCATGCGAAAACCGCTAATGTCCAGAGTCTTTTCTTTTGAATTATTCCGTCCCGGACAGGAGAGGAGCTGGAAACTGTTAGGGATCCTTTTCTACAATCCTCTCCTGTAATAATTAACTACTGAACATTTTTTAATTCCGTATTTTGAAGGCTCCTACAGTTTTTTGCAGTTCTCTCAAAATTAAAGAAAATGGACATTAGCGGTTTTCGCACGAGCCGATTCAATTGTTTCATAGGGTTCTAGGGGAGGAGAATAGTTCTTAAGATTAAGGACGATTGTGCAAATTCTCTAGAGTTTTTTTATACTTCAATGTAAGTAAGAGGTGGATTCATGGATTCTATTATAAAATTCCTGTAAATCAATCCAATAGAGCCTTTATTCGTGAAAGCACTGGAGGAAAATTCTAACATTAATTGTTAGCGCAGAAAGATAAAACCATATTATATTTTCTTAAACTGATAACTTCGAGACTGAATTCATTTGCGACCTGAGTTCAAAAGGTTTAAAACAGATTAATTTGTATGGTTTTGTTTGATTTATTCTCGTAGTTGAGTATAACATTCTACATACTATTTTAAGGAGTGAAGGCTGAAGGACCACCATAAAGTCACCAAAAACGAACAAAATAAAAAAAATTATTGACAGGTCACCTACACTGAAATATTTTGGAAAATGACTTGCTACTGACCTGCTACCAAAACTAAAAGCTGGAGCTCGTCCTTTCTTCGAATCAGGGGTTGTTCCAGAACCTGCAGAACAAAAAAAAAATACGTAGAATCCTTCTTTTAAAAAAATTAGTTCTTGAAATAGAGCAAGATGGGAAATGAGGCATTTGTGGTAGGCTGTAACATTTTTACTGCATCAGTTCTTTCAGATTTTTTTGTTTGTTACAGCAGATCTCCTGCTTTATTTTTTCCCCCTCCAATCTTTACCTAATGATTCTTCAACTGTTCTTTTTGCTGATTTCATTATTAAAAATCATTACCTCTACATGAAATATTACTCACCGACTAAACTAGGCAAAGTGACACATGCTGGACCAGGACCAGTGAACTCAGCAGCGATGGGACCTCTTCTCTTGGTTGGTGTCCAGGTCCTCTGTTGAAACCCACCCATTATTTCTTGTAAAATCGTCCAAGTTACTTATTCCTGTTAACACAAAGAGACATAAAGAATGAGCATGAATTTGAGACATAGACAGTCATACAGTAACACCCCTTGTACCTATAAATTAAAACGACAAATAAAAGAACAAGAAAATAAGCATTAAGTAATTGAGTACAAATTCTAAGTTTCAAAAGTTCCACTAGTAAAAATTTATGAAACTATTAAAAAAAAACTGGGTTTAGATACCCTACTATTAGAATAATTTTTTATTAAAGTAGTGAAAGAAAAATCTTCCAACTTTATACTCAATATGAGTAAAAAAATCTTAAAGTGCAAAAATCCATAATGTGTTTTTATAAATTATCAGATGGATCATTAAGAGATTGCAGTGTCTATATCCTTTTCGGTCCATTTTATTACTTTTTTGGATAGGCATGTAGCTTTTCTTTCTTTCTTTTTTTTTCGGGTCGATTGTACGTCTTGCCCTACGAGGGAAGATTTTCGTCTTTGTGAATTAAATTCTTAAAAAGGCTTACTCCGCACGAATTGAGCTCACAACAATTTTACTGCATTTTGCAATTTGGAGCTATAAATTCCGGCTCATCTGAAAGAACACTTATGTGCATACGGAAAATAATGGCACATACGCCGTTTTTAAACCGGGCCAGAACTTATAGCTCCTAATCGCAAAATGTAGTCCAATTGATGATTGCAAGAAAAATTTAAGAGACGCAACAGCAAGTGCAAGTCTCAGAGCATGGTGTAGGTATTTTCTATAGGAGATTCCTATCAGTGAAGAACAAATTGGAGTCTACTATACGGTTGCAACTTCGGAGAAGTTGGGCCAGAGTGTATAAACTGGATCTCGCCCTCAACGCGGCAACAAGCACCTGACAGAGCTGACGCCTCAAAAGCCTTCAAATACTTAGATATGCAAATTGCAACACACACGCCGGCATCGTGGTCGAGATCGCGATCGAATTCGAAACATGGATCGAAAAACAGGATATTGCAGTTGTTTTGGCGACAAGTGAGCCATTCTGCCGTGCCAATGAAAAACGCCGTATGCGCCTTCAGACGTTGCCAAGTCTCCTCCGATAAAAATCGGAAAATTTACTGGAAAATTCTGAGAGTTATTTTCCAAAATTTTCAGACAATTTTGTACGCAATTTAACCCTGGTAAAAATTGGCAGTAGAATCTGTGTTCCAAAATACCATAGACCTACAGCCGGCTGTAAGATTTCCAATAGCTCCTATAGCCGGCTACACAATTTCTTATAGCCTTTTATAGTCGATGGCGACTAAGCAACAGCCAGACGATAAAGTGTATGCTAAACGTTACTTATTACGGATGCTAGGACTTAGTGAGTTTTTGGAATACTGCTCTCTTTTTGGGCCGTAGCATCTTGATTTAGTTTGCGAGGAAAGTTCCGTACTTTTGATGGATGCCTGTCATTACTAATATATTAGAGCGCCTTTAGTTTCGTATGATGCTGTGCACTACCTCTGGTGTGAAATAGTTGCTTAGCGCCGCGCAGGCGGGCAGCCAGCGCAAAACGCGCATTGGCGCTTACAAACCTAACAGGTTAGGTTTGTAGGCGCCAGGGCGTCGCCGTCGCCGCTCCACGTTGTGTTAGGCTTTAATATTTAATCTGGCGGAGTCAGCGTTATTCAACTCATGATTTTGCAATGTTTGCACATCCTGTGTGGATTATTCTCATTTTAATTGATGAAAAAAAAAATATGTATCAAAGGAAAACATAATGTGTGTTTCGTAAATATTAAGGTGGTTCCGTATCAAACTTAATGATTTCCAAAGCACTCGAATTTCTACACAATTTCTTATAGCCTTTTATAATCGATGACGAAAAAGCAACAGCCAGGCGATAAAGTGTAAAGCCCGGCGATAGGAACTATAGCCCGGCTGCATAATTTTTTATCGCTTCCTATAGCCCGGCCGTATGACTTTCTCCGCATTCTACAGCCAGCTATATGATTTTCTGTAGCCTTCTTTAGCCGGCTATAAGAATTCCTATGGTATTTTGAAACGCAGCTCTTATCGCCAATTTTTACCAGGGAATCTAAATTATCTGAAACTTCCAAGAAAAAATATACATGAGTGTTGTCAAAAATACATGTTTTATCATGGAAAATTTGGCAACTCTCGAATGTTCATACGGCGTTCTTCCTTTTAGCACGGCAGCATTGGCGTGGATGGTGAAATGCATTTTGAAGTTACAGAATGTTTGTGCCTATAGAAGAATTGTAGCATATATTTGTCACACAGATTTCACTTAATTTCCACCAATAGCATGCTGTAACTTCCCTCGGGAAAAAAGAAAGGAAACGAAAGATTATTTGGAAAAGCTCGCGAAAATTTTGAAACGCAATAATGGATACACCGCACTTCCCCACGCCGTTTCATTAAACGCGCGCTGAATACTTGTTTCAACGTGTTAATCTTTAAAAAGGGCATTTTTTTCGCCTTCTGAATAATGCGTAAAATTCTCATTTACATCGCAAATTCATCAGAGAAAAACTATAAAAAAACCTAAAAATTACTGAGTAAAGTTGTGCAGTATTCTCTCACATGGACATAGATTCAAATATGTTTTTGAACCGTCTCAAAATAGTCTGTGTGCAATCATTTTCTGATGTTTTAAAACTTTTGGTTTCTCAGAGAAAGAAAAAAAGGCTCGAAAAAAAGGTGAGAAAGGCTCGATTTTTTCTTTTGAGTAGAAATCTCATCGAGTTTATCCTTCCTTACAAATTAAAAACTACGAGAAATACATGAAATTCATGAAAGAAAATACATGAGAAACGACCACTTATAATTTCTCGCTTTGTACCTAGGCACGTCTATTATGTTTCGCTTTTGTTTCGCGATGCCTCTGAGATCGGAGAGGGGAGGGAAGAGAGAAAAGGTACGGGGGTGGGTAAAAAAGAAATCTAATGGCATCCAGACGTACGAAATTCTGCCAAGTCGCGTGGATGCAATCGAATGTTAAATGGGGCATTGACAGAGCTGATGATCGCTGCTGCCACCTTGCAAGAATAACGTTTCTTTTTTATCTGAAGTGAACAGTTCAATGAAAGCGTCGCATCTGACTTTGGACCCATAGTTTCACACTGATATGAATCTGCGACTCTGCAATGTTTCACCCTGAATACCACTTCGCAATTTAAGACCAGCTGAAAGCGAGGGCCACTTATATGCAAGTCGCAACAAAAATACATCATAGTAAGTACTGAAATTTCAAAAAAAATTGAGTTGATTTCTCACGTTCTAACTGATTTTTTTTTTTTTTAATAATGATTTGAACAAGTTTGATCTTCACAGATTTAACGCCGATTCCGTATACCAACTCTGCTTAAAGTTAATCGCATGTCAAAGCAATACTTTCCACGCTGTTTTCAAAGATGTCCAAGCTTTTAGGATAGATTTCATGGCCAGGAGGAAACTTCCGTTTTCGGTGGGACATTTTGGAACTTAGAGTCTAACCTCTAAAGTGTTTTAAAATTTTGACCAGACGATACACTCATAACAAGAAGTGAGATAGAATCGGCCCATGTGGCAGAATTTTTAAAAATAGGAATTCGATAGTGATAAATAACAATTAAGTATCTACTTAGCTGTTAAAAATTCAAAAATTGGGTGCCTATAAATTGCTTATTTATCACTATAAATCTTGAAATTCTGCTACATGGGGTTTTAAAAATGAATTTCATTTCGCTTCAAGAGAATACCCAAATTTCTTCGTTAAATTAATAAAAAATCATAAAATTTCATAAGTATGAATTTAAAGAAATCTTACATCTGGGACCAGGAAGAATCCTTGAAGTTTTCCCAAGGATCATGACACATATGATAAGACGCGACAACGGGGGCCTTAAAAAACGAATTTCCTTTCGCTCCAAGAGAATTCCCAAATTTCTATGTTGAATCAAGAAAAAGTCATAAGATTTCATCAGTATGAATTTCAAGAAATCTTACATCTGGGACCAGGAAGAATCCTTGAAGTTTTCCCAAGAATCATGACACTTATGATAAATGGACCGCAAGCCGTGCAGAAAAGCCCGATCGAGTTTCTTCGTGTATAACTAGTTAGGCAGCAGCCACCCGTCTTTTTTTTTTTCTCTTGGTCGTCAACTTTTAGGGGGAGTTTTTTTAGGATTGGGCCGGGGTGGCTACTGCCACCTAGAATGAGACGCGACAACGGTGGCCGGCAGTGATAAGGTTAGGAAATGCAAGTTCGCATGGCGGCAACGAAGGAATGTATCGACCCGCGGCGCGCGACCCGTACCAGGAACCAAATTTTTCCCGATTCTTCCCAACTTCCCGCCACTGATCCAATTAGCCGGGAAGAAGATCCCATCTTCGGAGGAGGGGGAAGGGCTGAAAAATAGCGAGCAGTCGGCACGCGGTCTCGGTTTTCCGAAAAAAAAGAACGGTCACGCGAAATTGGAGCCATGTACGGTCGCTAATGTCTTCCGGGATGTTAGCAGTCTCTCCGGAAAGGTGAAGTCGTCTGGAAGTTGAGGGAAGTTTGAGAAATGGGCGCCGCATTCGTGGTTATCGAGCCGATAAATGAACGTATTTATGCTAAAAGGGACCAGTGGCGTGGCGTGCTCTGCGATATATCGATTGATCTGCCATTTAAACCTATGGGAAAGTATCGATAAACAGGAATAATCGATTATTTAACACAGCTTCAATTGGAGAGATATCGATAGATCGAAAAGCACGCCACGCCACTGAAAAGGACTATGTACAAATAAATTAAATCTTAAGGAGCTATGAAGCACGCGAATCCTTGGGAGGAAGTTCCTTAGGACTTAATTCGTTTTTACTTAATTCCTCTTGGCATGAATGCGAAGGAGGGTTGGCGGCGCGTGTATAGGACGGGTGACACGATACCCCCCCCCCTTCCCCTTTAAGCTTCCTAATTTTCGATTTTCTTCTTCTTCTCTTTTATTGGTGATATTTTACTTACTATGAATACAGCCGAAAATAGGCGCTATTAGTGACGACGTCATCATAG